AGAATAAGTACCACATATAAAATTAAATTAAGAAGTCTGACAATTTAGTACATTTTTATATGACGCAGCGGTATTCCTAAAAATTGAAGCAAAAATTTAAAAATTTACACGAGTAAAAAAAAATAGTAAAACTCAAAAAATACGAAAAATTAAAAAGAAATGAAAATTTAAAAACCGAATATATTTTGTAACAATTCAGAACAGAATTTGCAGTTTGGAGGATGACAATTATGAGTAAAACAATTGAATGTTCGAAATACCACTTCATCAAGTGACCCTGAATTTCAAAATTGAAATGACAGACACTTCTTAGGACTCTTCGGACAATTGTACACTTGATCGTAGGTTTTGATAATTTATGCTAGATTGGTCGAAAAGTTAAATTTTTTTTTTTTTTATTTAGGTGGCAATGAATAAGAGCACAATCGTTCTTCATTGGCTCTAGATTATTAGAATCTTATTTTTCCTCATTTATCTAATACCACATATGTATTATGTATACAGTGATATTTAGTTAGAAGTAGACATAGGGATTTGCGAGGGGATTTGTGTATATTGTTTTCCCTCTGTCTACTTAAAAACTCTTAGAAACGCCTAATTTTATGCAACTTCTTAAAACAAATGAAGATCTGGCTGTCATATTCATTAATTGGATTGCTTTCGCTTCCGTATTTTTATTTTCGTTCGTGCGATGTATTCAACTGAAGAAAAAGTTGATATTGTCAATTGGTATAGTGCCGGTAACAGTTTATGGAGCGTAAAAGACTTACTCTCTGTGTTGATTCCTTTACAATTAGTGGTTTTTACATCCGATGCACATTTTAATCTTTGTGGAAGGGAATCCCATAAGAAGCTTAGGGGGGAAATAGCGGTCAAATTTAATATCTTTTCATCGTAACCTAAAAGCATACTATTTACTGTCGCTTTTATTAAAATTCAGAATGCGTGCGCATGTTATTTTAGTTTTATAAAATTAGTCGTCTTTCAGAAAAGTTTTTTTGTCATTTAAAAATAGACATAGGAAATCCCTGTCTACTTCTAAATGAGTAACACGGTATACTTTAAACAATGGAATTATCAATAAGTATTTGTTTTATATCGTTAACTAAATTTTTTCGAAGCGCCCCGTAAATACTTTGCAAATGACTACATCATTTACCAATCTACGGTTGTAAAAAAAGTACTATAATTTGTTCTGTTATCGGCTAATTAATTACTTTTTCACCCTTCGTATAAATTATGGAAAACAAACTGTTCGTAAAATTCAAAAGTGTAAAAATGTATAGGGAGCACCATTCGAACGAATAAACCGAAAGTGCGCTAAATAAAAAACATGTTTTACCGCTTTTTTTACACTTTCACTGTCAAAAAATAACTGATTTTTTAAATAAAACACCCTGTATATTTTTGCATGTTTCGATTTAACCTCGACATTTAACGCTATTCATTTTTTTATTTTTTGTCAATGTTGTCATCTTATTAATTTTTTTCCCGAAAAATTCCCCATAAACAAGCCGCGCTTTGATGAATCGTAGCTACCTTGATTTGGAATTCAAGAAAAACATTTGATCATTATTGTTAATCAGAATAAAAGGCAACATCTTGATAATAAGAAAGTTGGATTTAATGATATAGGGTGTTCACAAGGAAATTTCAAAGTTCCACTACTATTTTTTTTTCAAATAGAACTACCACTATTTTATTTCGCTATACGATAGCCTTTTGTGTTCTTTTCAATTATCTAAAAAAACTAGTTCATCTTTTTCGAAATTCACCTTTTTAATTATTTTTATTTTATTATGAAATACGAAGTACACTTGCACCAAATAATTAATTTGTGACACTTGTTTACTTTCTGGCACTCTTTTGTTTTTTATTTTATTATCACGGCCTACTCCGGTGTATAAACATGTTGGTAGGGTTGAAAAACGGTTAGTACCGATACCTCGCCTCTTAGATAAGAATTTCTTTGTAAATATTATCTAATAAAGTATAAATAAATAAATAATTAATAGGTAAGTACTTTCGTGAAAAATATTGAATAACCAAAAAACTAGGGGGTTTAAGCACAAGACACCCCTTATAAAAATTGAAAAGAAAGAACACAAAAGACTATCGAATAGCGAAATAAAATAGTGGTACTCCATTTGAAAACAAAATAGTTGTGGCAATTTGAAATTCGGAAACTTTACCATTTCCTTCTGAACACCCTGTATCACTAAATCTATCTATCTCATTATCCAACTTCAAAACACAAGGTCGCTATGGTTCATCAAAGTGAGGCCTGCTTATGGAGAATTATTCGGAAAAAAATTAATAAGATGGTAACATTAACAAAAAATCAAAAAGTGAATAGCGTTCAATGTAGAGATGGCATCGAAACATGTAATACAGGGTGTTCTACATAAAAAAAATCAGTTATTTATTCACACCGTAAAAATGGGACCCCCTGTACATTCAAAAATAATTTTTATAGATGCCCAACCATCTGTAGTTGACATTTGCACAAAAGGTTTTTGTATTTTTTTTATGCATGAGCCAGGAAACATGGACGCACTGTCGCAGGACTCTGTATACAAGGATATACGGCGCACAAAAAAAAACAAAAGTTAGAAACTGTTGCTTTCAACAGGTTGGTGCGCCCGCGCAAACCGCCCTAGTTTCCATTTTCCAGCAAATTTGTCCGAGGTAGCGTGTATTTACGATTTTTACGTATATACAGTGTGTTCCTATTGACTGTTTTCTCACGTTAGCAATTTGTGCCAATGCAATTGTCAAAACAGAAAATCAATTGAGCCATAGACGCCAACACAAGCAAAAAGACTCGTCGTTTTGCAAATAAGCTCAACCCCTCCCTGATCCGGCACTAGTGTATACAAAAGTATAGGTAGTGCCGGATTATGGGTTAGTATTCCGGACTACTGGGTGTGCCGGATTACCGAGCGCCTACTGTACCTGGTCAAGTGGTCAAGGGAACATTTTAAAGGAGGAAATGAGATCGACAAAAACACACAGGCAGTCATGCAAAGCTGTTTCGGAATTTTGTTGTTGTTTTATGTGTATGTTTAGTCTGGCTTGTTTGGAAAAAATGCTAGTGTTCAATTAACCTTTCATTCTAATGTCCATAAAACTGTAGATATCGGACGAAACGAGGCGGATCTTTAAAAAAATCGGCAATGCATGTCGAAACATTTGCGAGTAGAAAAATAAAATAGATCATTGGAAGAAACGTCGTGGGTGATATTTTTCCATAAACAAACTGCGATGGCCTTGGAAAACAAAAAACCGTAACCTGTAACTAATTTCGTTTGGAAAAAAATGAGCATCGGTGAATTTCGCAAAATACATCTAGCCTATTTTAACGTGAGAGCGCGCCGCCGACGACGTTTCGAGAATAATTTACTGCGGCTACGGTATGCGTAACGCTCATATCGGGAATGTAAAGTGCAATAATACAACAAAAGTGAGCGTATCGACTGATGTTACAGCTGCTCCCCTCCCCTCCTCGCGATCGTCGCAATCGTAAAAATTACAATGAAATCTGCCGGAGTTTGTGAATGCGTCGATGCGAAACAGACCTGCCGAGTTCGGGAATGAAGCTGCCGATTGCCATAGAAACTGGTCGGTTTTCTTGCGCCTCATCCCATTTGCTCTATGCTTCTAAACCTATCGTACTAATCGCACGTCGGCGTTTGAAACGCACGCACTGCTCCGCTTCTACAAACTACACCGTAACGGCTTAAGTTCAGTGCCGCTACGTTATGAATCACTCGTTTTGGCCTCCACTTTAATTAGAGCTACCTATTTTCCGCGGTGCGATAACGATCTCTACTATAAAAATGTTTTTCAATTGTCTTGACATATTTTGATATAGACAGTGACAGTATTCATAATTATAGAAACCAGATCATTTCCTTTTTCATAGTAAAACAGCATTGGTCATTGAACCAAAGTCAATTATTGGGGAAAATACAGGGTAGGCCATTAAGTGTGTGGATGGAAATGGTAGGTTTATTAACGCCCATATTTTCAACGAAATTACAATTGTTATACAGGGTGATTTATATCAAAATCGGAAAGGGCATACTCGAAAACCTAGTGCTGGTTTTGATCCCCTCTACCATCCAAATTTTTTTTACATACTTATGTGTAACACCCTGTATAGAAATAAGATTAGAATATAAAAACCAGGAAAACCAAGATATTTTGAAAACAATTAGATATGAGTATAGAACGAAAAGTGGAAGGTTTTTGGAGGAGCTAGAATCCTAAAAAAATATAAGGGTACTCCGGGGTGCTTCATTTAATAAAGCTGAAATACCCTGTAAATTTATTTTTATTTTTTTCATAGCAAATCTATTTAGTTGGCTTTTACTTTATCCAGGGTAAAAGATATAGAGGCTGGAATCCAAATTTAAGTAGTAATTTTGAAAATAAACTGATGCTTGCAAAATTTTTCATAGAATTAAAAAATGCATTTAAATACATTTTTTTAAATGCACTTTTTTAGCGCCCTACTTTGTGAACGCACCTTGTATATGTATTTCAAACTATTTTTAATTCCAACCATATCATAATACAAAAATATTGTAACGAAAAATCTTATCTTCAAAACATTAGGTGACCTCTCAATCGTTGATTCACCCTGTACATTATGCTTCTTACAGATTTTAAAAGAAGAATTGAAATATCAAATAATGTATAGGGTGTAAAAAAATGCAATTTGAGTGTGCCACACCTTTATGATTAACCATGTATAATAATTAAAATGATTACTACCTTAGACATTGAAAAATCCGGAAACTTTTTTCGATATCTTCGATAATTGACCGTTTTCAAACTTATCAGCGACCTTGTATATGGTTTAGGGCCTCTAGGGTCTTAGGTCGCATACAAGTGCATTTCAGAATGACGATTTTTGAACTGTTGTGCTGAAAAATTGGTTTCATAAGAAACATTTGGGTGATCCATTTTTTTTTAATATTCCGTTTATTTTTCAGGTTAACTCCAAGAATGCGTGGTCGGAGCTCTTTCAACAATTTAAGCTGCCCAGTAGGTGCATTAACGCTGGCGTTGGACTCAAACAGCTCTACCTTAGGTAAGTAAATCGGTTTCGTAATAATTAAAGCGTGTTGACCGCAATTTTAAAGGTACTTGGATCGATGGGAAAAGGTGCATTTTCTTGGCGAGGAGGTGGATAGAGGCAGTGACGAGGACGAAGAGAGTAGGCACAAGAGGTGGTCGGCGCGTGCGTTACATTCGGTACCGTTAAGTTATAATTACCAGCAGCATAACATAGCAGGTTAGTTTTGCCGACTCGTCTCGTCGGTGCAGTACTGTCCTCTTTATTTTAGAATCGACAAGGGAGTACAATAACCTCTCGACCGATCTGTACAAACAATCCGATTTTGACCGACTGGTACTATCGCTTCTATCGCCATTACCTAACGAGCAAGATTTCGCAATTAACGTATGCACCTTACTTTCCAACGACAGCCGGCACACCCTCAAGTTGGAGAAGTACCCGAGGATAGTCGAACACCTTCTCGCTCACACAGGCATTTACAATCATAGTAAGTGTATTTGAAATGAGTTAAGCGCACAAATTCAGTCATTCAAATTCGTTAGTCACACTTTGACTACAAGAACCCCCCGTAAATTAGTCACTTGTTTTCAAAATATTTGCCCCCCCCAAACAAAATCTTGTTCGTTGTCATTTAATTTCTGTGGCATGTTGCGAATTTTCTTTGACATCCAAATTTGCGATTTGTCAGATGTTCCTGGAGGTGAATTTTTCATGAAAAATACAGCTTAGACTTGTGTGAATTTCGTATGTCATGAATTTTTCATTTCCACTCCAGGCAAAGTCAAGGAACTCGTACCGCTCCCGCACCTAAATTTCTTTGTTTTAGTCAGCTCACTATACGTTAACATTTTCTTGGCGCAAATAATGCATTTTCAAAGTGAAGTCAAATATTTTTTTTTAGTTCTTTATATCTGTCAATGAACATACAGCAGCTTCTCGTTTTCATTATTGTTTTTTTTCTATTGTTTCAAGATAATATAATCGCCCACGCCTTTCCATATACTGTGCATGCAAAAAAATGTCATATTTGACCCTTCTCCTCAACTATTTAGGAATGCAGACTCAGTTCAGTAACAATGTAATTTATGCCCCAATGGTCTAGTGGCATTTTTTCATTTCTTTTTGTTACAATTTTTCATTTTTGTACAATTTTTCGTTTTTTTTTGTTTACAATTTTTCACTTTTTTGTTACATCTTTTTATTTTTTACCGTTTTTTATTGTTTTTGTTTTTCTTATTATTTTTATTGTGAAATATGGTTGTCCAATAAAAGTTTTTATTATTATTATTAATTTTAGGGTTTGCAACTAAGCGGCTCGAGTTCTATTCTTTGTATGAAAAATATTTTTTTTTACAAAAATGCGTACCAAATTCAGACATGCGCAGTGTATGGAACAACCTGGACGATTTACTCAAACAAATTTGAAAAAAAAATTTTAAATCAGAAATATCAATGAGAAATACCTGATATACAATCTGTGTCAACTAAAATTTCACCTCACTTCCTTGACGTTCATCTCACCCTTTAGGCGGGGTGTCTCTCGAGGTGCCTACTCCCTTAATAAATTTAAACAGTTTAAAATGCTGGTACTGTCTGTATGAGTGTCTGTAAATTATACACTAAATACCACAGTGTTACCCACTGAACTATACTTAACTGGAACGCGTACTGGCAGTCCGTGCCTTAGAAACGTAGCGCGCCGAGAGAGATAAATGCAAGGGGGATTTCTGTCACTGTCACTCATTGGGCAACTGATCATTAATTCAAAACATATCAAGTAGGCTGCTCTATGCATGCGTGAGAGTAGGACAAAGATCCCCCTTGTGCCCCTCTTTCTCTCTCGGATCCCGCTGGTCGACGGAGCGCGCGTTCCAGTATAATTATAGTTCAGTGGTGTTATCCCTTGACAGAGCTGGGTCGAGTGTTCTAAAAGACCGTTCGAGCTCCGAGCGGTTTAATTTTCTCAAAAATACTCGCGAGCATCGAGTTGTTTTGCAAAGGGAAACCGCTTGCGAGTTCCGAGCACTCCTAAACTTGAGCGGTTTAGCGTTAACGAACGAAAAAATAGCTTGCGAGCGAGAAAAAAAACGCTCATGAACGGAAAAACCGCACTTTAAGTACAAGCGGCCGCTCCGAAAAGTGCTCGCGAGCGGATCACCCGCAAACTCTTTTTCCACTTGGAGCGCTTTTTCGAGCGAAACGCTAGCGAGCAGCTCTGCCCCTTGGATTCCTTCTTCTCGAAATCTAACATAATTTAGTGACTGAATTTATGACCAGAGTGTTGCAACTTATTTTTTCTATTTCTGTGTTACAATGAGAATTTTGTGCAACTACTTTCGGCAAAAACAACGTTTCAATGAGTTCCATTGTAACATTGTTTTTGGTAACTTTTCATCTCTAAGTTGGCAGTTCGCCAAGACGTCAACGTCAAATCATCGGATGTGAAATCAAATTACATAAAATTTATGTATTTTCCTTGATTTTTGGTACACGAAGAACTTAATACATTCCAAATCAGCAGTTTACACATCCACCATAAATAAATTTATCTACGAGTAAAAAATTACACATTCACGGAATTTAAAGTTTCCAAATGTCAGTGTTGTGTTTATCCACGCTGCCTACTTAAAATTTGTCAACGAAAATGGTGTTGCCAACTTAAGACATATTAATTCTAAAGTTTCCTGTAATTTTTCATAATTACTTTTTAATTAAATTAAAGCCCCGAAATAGAAAAAATAGTATGAAAAACACGTGTTACAATGCTTTATTGTAAAACTCCTATCTTGTGGACACTCGTGCCACAAGATAGTCGTATTACAATAGGTCGCATTGTAACACTTGTCTTTCAATATACTATTGGTGTCATTCGCATTTGCTAGAGTTAGCCTTCTATGATTCCTGCTACAATAAAATAAGAGCTAAGTGCTACAGCATTTGATGAAATTGGTGTAAATTTGAAACACCCTGTACATGTTCATTTCGTACTGGTTGTACCATGAAAGTTCAACCCAAGTTCAGTTGAATGAAGCAATTTGATTGGTTCACGTGGTACAACCGGCCCTGAAAAGATGACTAACAATTTTTAACTTTTGCCAGGCTCTCTACGACAACTATTTACTAACTGTTACGACAAGATAAGGCAGCATTCATTAGATAGCTTTTGGAAGGATATAATAGAGACGGAGGAATGTTTGGATCTCACAAATGAAAATGATTTCGTTACGTCAAACTTGGACATAAGACGATCGCCTAATTTTAGTATAAAGTGTAATTCAAATTTAGAAAATACATCAACAGCTGAATCAATAGAGAACTCTATTCTTAAGACTGATACTTTAGTTAATACCTTCGCACCATCGACATCTTGTACATTGGACAGAAGAGAATCGTCGGATAGCACGAACGACAATAGTGTAAATTTATGCAAAGGACAGTTTTTTCAATTTTATCAAAGTACGTCCGATAAGGAGTTCTTCAATCTCGGACGCGCGTTAGGAACTCAGGACTATATCGGTCAGAGAGTGCTTCAAGTGGCTTCGATATTGAGGAATCTTAGTTTCATAGAGGAAAACATACCAGTATTATCGAGTAATCGGACTTTTGTTCGATTTTTGATCTTGTGCTCGAACGCGCGATGGATGAACTTGCAAAATTTAGGCTTAGACATGTTAGGAAATATTTCGTGCGAGTTTTTAATGAAAGACCTTCACGCGGACAAAATCAGTATGGCGCTAGTGAGGCTTATAACTAAAGGACTCGAAAGTGACGATCGCGCCTTTTGCATAGCCTCGTTGGACTCTTTAAATAAACTTAGTCAGAAGGAGGCGAATGAAGAAATATTGGCGCGTGCGCTTGATTCTTGTGTATATAGGCGGGTGTGTTCGTTTCTTACATTGCAAGACGTTATGGTTTTAGTTTACACTTTGGAGTGTTTGTACTCTTTGTCGTCGTTAGGTGAAAGGCCGTGTAATTTAATTGTGAATATACACGGCGTAATTGACACACTAGTATCGTTAGTCACAGTGGAAGGTAAAAGTTACGGGCCGAAAGCTTGCATCGGTATGAAACTGGTCGAGACTGTTCCTGGAGGAGGTAGCAATGTGTCTCAAAGTGTATCGGTGGCTAGCAGTTCTACAACACCAACCACAACAACTTCGATTACCACCACTTCAAGTCCATCTTCTACAGTAACAACGACCGTTTCCACTACTACAACAACACTTGTGTCGGTGTCAGCATCCGTGATCCAAACCACACCGACCAAAGCTGTTGTATCAAGCGCGCCGACCCGAAACATACAAATTGCACCTCAACGGGTCATCATTACACATGTAGCGACGACACGTAAGTTAACCCCCTTCTGTATGTTTTCGTTCCTACCATCACAACTTACAGCAACGACCACGTCCACGACTCAAGTTACACAAATTATATCACCTCAACAGTTGGTCCAGCAGCAGCACGCCCATCAGCAGGCAATTCAAGAGAACGAACAGTTCGCGTTGGCGTGGATTCGTGCCACGTACGAACCGTGTAACGGCGGACGAGTGGAACAGCAGGAATTGTACAAGCATTACATTAATTCGTGCGCGAAAATCGGACGAAGAGGCGTTATCGCTCCACTTCATTTTCCCAGATGTGTTAGGTAAGTATTGCTTAGTGCGCGCACGCGTAATCGTCATGCAAATTACATGATTTCACACTTTTACCAATTGGGTTACATACCGTACCAATGTTTGTAATAAAAATATGAGAAGTTGATATTTTTTGTTGTAAAACATCACCAATTTATATGTATGAGGTTAGGTTGGGGGTCAGCTACCTGCGGCTCGTGAGCTGCATGCGACATTTGTTTACTTTCTGGTTTTCTTTTGTTTTTTATTACAGCCTACTCTGGTGTATGAAGATATAATTAATTAATGGGCAGATACTTTTGAGAAAAATATTGAATTACCAAAAAACTAAAGACACCCCTTATAAAAATTGAAGAGAATCGAATATATCGAAATAAAATAATGGTAGTTCCATTTGAAAAACACTTTGAAGTTTGGAAATTTTACCATTTCCTTGTGAACATCCTGTATCACTAAACTTCCCAAGTGTTTCCCTTTACTCGGATTAACATTATTACACAAGTTTATTTCTTAACTTTTGTTATTGATTGGTTTTATTTACCATGGATACAATAAACAAAACAAAATCTCCATGAATCCATGTCCTGCTACAGTGTTTCCCAATCTTTGTCGGTTGGCGATCCACTTTTCCTCATCGGAATAACTCCACGGCTCATTGGTCCAACAACTTGGGTTTTTATTTGGAAAAGTTAGTAGATATACAGTGTGTCCCAGATCGCGTGGGATTGCATGGGTAACTTTGTTATTATTAAAGATAGAGAATTGGTTAAATGGGCAATGTTTTGCAGTTTTGGATGCTTATTTAAAATTTCCTTATGGAAATTCAAAATGTCGCATAGGTTCGACGTAAATTGAAAAAAACTAAAATTGGTCATTTCCTTGAATGTCTTATATCATCGAAAGTATAAGAGATATAAAAAAAAGTTTTATATAAAAGTTACTGTCTTTGATACGCTTAATTTAGAATTGATGTCAAAAAAAAATTTAAGATGGCCACTTTTGAGGAACATTTACCAACTTCCTAAAGTTAAATGGGCGCCATATTGGATTTTTAGATTACTTGATAGATTTTTTAATTCTCTTTTCAACGAGCCATCATAACATAAGATTGAAAATAAGATACCAGTTATATTAACGGTTTTTGTATTTTAATCAAGTAGTCTGTGACGAATAAAAAAAAAAACAATATCTATTCGAGGCAACAAAACAATGAAAATAATTACATCAGATGTTTAAAAAATCAGGGGTGCACACATGAGAGGGGGGTTTGGGCATTACAAATGTTCCTCATAAGTAGCCATCTTGAATTTTTTTTTACATCAATTCTAAATTAAGCGTATCAAAGACAGTCACTTTTATATAACACTTTTTTTTATATCTCATGCTTTCGATGATATAAGACATTCAAGGAAATGACCAATTTTAGTTTTTTTTTTAAATTAACGTCGAACCTATGCGACATTTTGAATTTCCATAAGGAAATTTTAAATAAGCATCTAAAACTGCAAAACATGGCCCATTTAACCAATTGTCTATCTTTAATAATAACAAAGTTACCCATGCAATCCCACGCGGTTTGGGACACACTGTATATTGACAAAATAAGCAACAAGTGATTTCATATTCACTTCACTTAACAAGGTGAAGATAGAATGTACACAGAAACCACTTTAATTTTTCAGGCTTAAATTCATACAGCTTCACTAGAGATTGTATCACAATCCATCAGTATATAAAATTTGGCCCTTTGGTGACCAGCTATATGCACATTATAGATTTTGTAGATCTAGGTAAAAATCTTCACTGATCAGCGCACGCCATCTGTCGTAAATCTTACATACGTACTGCAAGTACATATGTGCTTCGTTAGTGGGTGGTTAGAGGGCGTCTTTTTGTACCCTTCCAGGAAACCGACTGGTATCTAGAGCGTCCTTAGTATTATTAATAGTGTGCACGTAGCGTGGCCTTCGATGATGGGACAGCGTTTCCAGATTTTTGTTTAGATTTTTTCGATCTGTTGTGGTGGTTAATTCAATAGTTTTAGGATTGGGTCGCTGTGACCTACTCATGGGTAGCGACCAACCGGTTGGGTACCGTTGGCCTACGATTTAGTTGGTTCAGGGCTAAAATTTAAAAAGAGATAGGTTGACATCAACTTAATCGGAAAAATGAATGCAAAAAAACTTGACGTTAAGATATACAGGGTGTTGCATTTAAAAAATACCAACTTTGGATGAAATCTCAGAAACGGTGGTTTAAAAATTTGTGTTGACTACGCCACTGGATTCTATAAAAAATCTGTTTTTACCTTTTTTCTATCTTACACGGGTAGTAAGGTATGATAACATTCCAAAAAGTCAAACTTTTCATTTTCACCCTGTATCTCAGAAACAAACGCAGCTATACTTCATTCATTATAAGAAGGTAGTAGATGAAGATAAACACACACAGGAAAAATATAAATCGGCACCAAATTATTGTAAAGAAGAAATATCCAGTACTGCGAACAGAAATAAATCTTTGACATTAACAGTTAATGACACTTCGGCAGTTTAGTTGGCAACATAAACTACCAGCTTACAAAATTTGTCACTCGTTTTATGTTTCAGTGTAATACTGATTCGTGTTTTAACCAATCACAATGAAGGTCAAAGCTTCCCTATGCTTTCTCCCGCTACCTTCTTAAAATGAATGCAGTATAGATTGATTCGTTTCTAGGTTCCTATTAAAACTTTCACAAAAAAGCGGCACAGGGGCGCGAAAACTGCGAGTCTCTAAAAACAGCTGAGATACACTGCAGTCTCAACCAAAATGATTGATGCTTGTCGCGTGCCAAATGTTTTGTTAAATTCAGTGTATGGAGTAATTTCAGTGGCGGCGTTAAAGGGGGCGGAATTTATTGGTTTTTGAAAAAACAAGCTTTGGTAGTGTACCTTAAAAACTAAGCAGGCTTTAGAAATTAATGTTTATTCTTCTACTTTTTGATTATTCCCACAAATAACTGAGTTACAAAGTAAACACCTTTTATTGCATTTTTGGTCTTTTGCGCTGTTGCCATGTTCGCGCAAGTCGTACGTCAAAATTGAGATCGTTGATCTATGCAACTTTGAAAAGTAAATATGAAAGGTGCAAACTGCATTGGTTTTAGTTCTCAAGATATCCCCGAAAAACATCGAAAACAAGCAATTTAAAACACCCTGTACATATCCGTTTTCATTGTAGGTACCTACCAAGCTGTTAATTAGATCCCGAATGAGAGAAGAGGGTAGGGGGCATGTATGAGGGCGCAATTTTGGTGGACCGTCCAGGGCACCAGCGGTCGGTACTCCGCCACTGAATCTTGGTTGCCAGTGGTGCATTGAACAAAATGGTTGCTTATTTGAGCAATGTCTGTAGAATGAACATGGTTATTTATAGAATTTTTGTAGTAATAGAGACATATTGTATGCTCACAATTTCTGTTCCACTTGATGCGTAAAGAGGATTATTTCCATAGCATGCTACGAAATTTTGAAAAATTAGGTATTTTAATTTTTTGTGTGAAAAATTTCGACATTAATAATAATTCAATTTTGTGTCAATAATGCAAAAGTATTTTACATCTGTCATACAGATTAATTTATGTATTCTATTTTTCAAAATTGTGCAAACGTCACGAGTAAAAAGTTTCTTGAATTAGCATCAATATTTCTTTTAATTTCAATTTCAAGTTATCTATTGTAGCAGACTTAAAAGAGTTTGGAGGTTTATTATACATTTTAGGGCCAGAAAAATTAATTGTGTTTCGACAAATTCCATTTTGGTAATTAGGTCATTGTAGTCTTTACTTTCTGTCATAAAAGTGGTTTCCTCTGCATACAAAATTGGAAATAAAGTAGGTGTGTATTTTGATAGATCATTTATATAGATTAGAAACAAAGTGGGCCCTAGTACAGAACCCTGTGGCACCCCACATTTAATCTCTGTGATCTTGGACCTTTTGTTATTTAATACTATCATTTGTTTTCGTTTTGACAGGTAAGATTCAATGAGTGCCAAACTGTTATCTTTACATTTATTAATTAGTATATCATCCGCTTGTATTAACAATTGAATTTAGAGGGACAAATTCTATCAAATTCAATTTAAAATATTGAAGTCAATTATTAGTAGTCCTCGAAAATAATAATTTAAAACATTTTAATTATGGCCGTTTTGAACTATTTGTGCAGTCATTAAATATGGTTTTTTATGGATTGTAGTCGCTCCAATTTAAAATTATTGGGAACCCTGCTCTGATCTAGATGATGACTATGGCGCGCCATCACTCGCTACCTGTTACATGAAATGTTTTAGAACCGCATCGGTCAAGATTGTACACGTCCAGATGGCGCCTGCGCATAGTTGTATCTTCCAAGGTTAGGTCAATGACGATATTAAAACATCTCGTATGACGTTAGTTTTTTTGGGTGGGGTGATTTTACAACAACTCATATTTTGTATTAAAACTTTTTTGTAAATGTTTAGTTACAATTCACAGATCATGTATTTGCGTGACGATTATTAGAATACACTAAATCACGATTTATGCCTTTTACTATTTGCTTAATTGAGTTTTTAAAATTTTTTTAGATCAGTATTTGGTGGTACAGTGGGACCGAATCCAGTGAAGGGTGTAAGTGCCACTGATGCACAGTATTATGAAGGAATAAAGGTGCGAGTCCAACCCCTTGTAATAAGTGTTCAATCAATGTCTAACCTGTCAACAACTCAATCTCCAGTTAAAGGCAGTGTCCGGCGTAAAAGTCAAAATACCTCTACCGGAACGTCCCCTTCAACAACCCAAGTTCCTACAATCACTCTACATGCCGATAGTACCGATACTCCTCCGCCCTCTCCCGCTTCACCAATATTGAAGGCACAGCTAAGTGCGCCTTCAAAATCACGAGAAAACACTGTTATTAACTCGACTGTTAAAGGAGATATTAAAAGTCAGGTAATTGTTGTTGGGTTTAGATTACTTTATTCTATCACTGTCGCTTTTAAATCAAATCAGCAATGTTTCACAAAACTCCTCCCTCTCCCCTCCGCCATACGATCGCTCATACTTCAATTTTGGTAAAAGGTTATGGCACATCCGCATCTTAGTCAAGCTCTACTTGGCAGCAGTGGTAATAGTAATAACAGCGGTAAAGAATCTCAAACAAGCCCGAGTAACACATCACTCATCAAAACTTTACTCGCGACTAAGGTAAACGACTGCATGTCTTCTATCAGCATGAAGAGTTCCATGGACTGCCAATCTGTAGTGCAGGTAACATACTAATCACTAACAACCAAACTTTGAAAAAAAACCATCACACACACACACACACACTTCATGTCCTACAGGCGCACGAGCACGAAGAGTGCTTTGTGCAAATCACATTGATGTATATTTGCTTTTTCATTGGGGGTGCACATCTTGGAACATGTATTGTCTATGCCAGATATACTTGGGTATTACTGTTGTAAAATTAGCCATGGTCTGTGACATTAATTTGACAGATTACAGTAGGCCCAGTAGACAGTAATGTCTAATTTTTGATTGGTTGTCGAGATCGGCGGCCATGTTGCATCGAATATATATATTTATATAATATTGTATTGTAGTGTACGCAACACATGCCATATGTGTATGGCGTGGTGCCTACTTCTAATTTGAATTTCAATTCAAAATGGCCGCTCAGCTCCTTTTGTCGCCACTGTCGCTATAAAGTTACTGTGGACAGAATTGGAGACATCGGTACCTACTCATTATAACCAAATGCCAATTAACTGTTAGTTGATGTTGCCTGAATAACCAGTCATACCCAAGTATATTTGGTTCATAGTATATCAACATTCACTGTAATATTTAAAAAATCAAATAGTTCACAGCCTATTTGTGTAACTGTGGTGGAAGGTTCAAAGTAGTGATTGCCCCAGTCAATTAGTGGTTAATTGTTAAGTTAATTTTATTTTATCTGGCATTAGTTATAAGTTAGTAAAGCAATCTGAAAAAAGCTCAAGCTGACTTAATGTAAGAAAAGTGCTGAGTACTTTTTTTTTACATTAGGCCAATAATAAAGGCTCACTTGCAACCATTTTGATTCTGCCATCAATACTTTTCATATTGTGGAGCTAACTTAAAAAGAGTAGATCATGAGGTTTACTCTGTTGCACTTAAAACTCCTCCCATTCCATATTGACGTAAAAATTTTAGTAGAATTTTACCCGCGTATTTTAAATGGTTTTACATTGCATGTACAAGATCCCACATAAGGTTAACCTTTGCTTAATCTTAATATGTAACCAAACACATTGCCAATAGGTTGCCTAAAAATATTAAGTTAATTAAAACTAATGTAATTAATATTTCTGTCTGCTTCTATCACATGGGAAGAGCGCATGCGTACACCACGAGCAGCTGTTACGCTGTGTCCTCTTGTCACATGAAATAATGGCCCGTATGAATAAAAATAAGCAAATGCTTATACTTGCAAAATTCAAAGTAAATACTCGTAACTGCCCCTTCATGCTGGTCTGTTTAGCAGCACTGCACTGCGTCCTGTGCTGCTGCTCAGAAGCGCTGCTAAGTCGCCCAGTGGGAAGGAGCACTTACGAGTATTTACTTTGAATTTTGCAAGTATAAGCATTTGCTTACTTTTATTCATACGGGCCAATATACATGTTTCTCTCTCGCGCTTCACTTGAAATTGCGACAATTGTACTGTTCCGTATGAAAGACAGTAACAGCTGCTTGGGGTGTATGAGAGTGCGCATGGACTCTCCCCATGTGATAGAAGCAGATAGAAATATTAATTTCATTAATTTTAATTGACTTAATATTTTTAGGCAACCTATTTGCAATGTGTTTGGTTACATATGAAGATCTATAAAAAATGTATTTCACTCTGTAAACAGTTTTGACCTTATGTGGCATTTAACACTAGATTTTTTTTAATGAGTTTCGAACCAATTAAAAGCTTGCAGTTCAAATTCAATTTTAGGGTTCCATTAATTATAGTAACCATCGGAATGACCAGATCTTTAATTTATTTTCACTTGTTTTGGAATAAGGTGGAGGGAGTCTAGGTCCAACAGAGCATGGGTTTTTAGACTGAAAGGAGTAGTGGTGATGGACATGAAGGTGTTTGTCTTCTCAAAACCATAGCAAGTGAAGAATGAAATTGTACACTTTACCACTTAACTTTTAGGGGAAAATATCTGACATTTAACAATTCTTCCTGTTGCAAATTAACATTGTGCGCATTGTAATTATTGTAATATACTTGTCGTGACTTTGTAGATTTGTGGGGCATGTAACAAATGTGGTAGTTATTTGTTTTATAGAAGTTGGTGTCTAACCAGTTAATCAAATAACTCATAACGCACCCGGTTACTGTATCGTGGTACTAAAATCGGTTTTCTTAGGTTGCCGCACGTCAGCAGCAGCAGAGACTTTTAGCGCAGCAGACGCCACAGAGCTCTAAGGTTTCACAAATAAAAGTTGAAGACAAAAAATCATCCCGCATTAACGGGACGTGCCAGTTTTTCGGCGAAGACAGTACGGATGTCTCGTCCATACCGGCATCTGTCAATTCGAATTTTGGCACAGTAAAAAGGGAACCTCCCCAACCGCCTCCGCCTCCTCTGGCACCGTTAAGTAATTCGCGGGCTCTCTTGCACCGAATGGAAAACGATGACAGTGATTCCACGGGCAATAACTCCTTAGCCTCGAGTAGTGGCATCAATGTCGGTATTTCCTCAACGGAAGACGGGGAAAATAGTCTCACCAGCTTTGAGGGGCTTCTCAACGGCGTACCTAACCTCGATAATCCGTTGAATTTAAACGATGACAGTAATTCAAAAGACTCGCTCAAAAGCTTAGGTGCAAATGTTATATCTAGGAATAAGCCGTTAATGTTAGCCGATTTACTTGAAAAAAAGGTGGAGAAAGATCCGCCTATTTTAAATGGTCTACTCGCGAAAGAGCTACGAATTGGTGATAAAGGGCTCGAGTTGGTTGAGAATCATATCGATAAGGTTCTCAGTAAAGAGGCCACAATTGATCGTGTCGCATTGGCGGCCGCAAGAAATGTCGAGGAACTGTCAGGGAAACACGGTCTGAAACGATGCGCCGATGACGAAGAAGAGGATGAGGTTATCAATCCGAAGAAAATGAGGTTCCCGGGGAACGAGTTAGGTGTCAACGGATCTCTCAACGCGAGCTCCCCAGCTCCTGATTCCGTATCCAGCTCGTCAAACGGCGAAGAACCGACCGCAACCGTTTCCACCGCCGCCGCCAAATTGTTCGCCGATATCGCCGCAGATATTCTCGAGGATGAGGAGGAGGAGTTCCTGCAAGAGGCCCAAGCTCAGCAGGCTGTCGAAGAATCGGGAGTTGTGCAGGTTATTCAAAATAACAACGTACAATCGGTCTTTGTGGATCAGCCGCAGGTTTGTTTTTGTACTGAAACGTGTGGAGTTTGATTTTAATTCGTAGCCACAGGTTATAGTCTCCGCCCAGCCTCGTCAGATAATCGTTACGCAACAGGCCAATCAGATGGTACTCCCAGCCGGTGCACAATTAAAAGCCGGTCAAACTGTTATTGTACAAAACACCGCCCAACAGAGACCTCAAATGGTTTTACAGCAGGCAAACACGGGGCAATTCTTGCTTTCCCCCAGCATACAAGGCCAAATGCAACTAGTCGCGAGCACAACACAACCCGGCCAATACGTCCTGCAAACTGGAGCGACGCAAGGGGCTTACGTCGTGGCGCAATCGCAAACCGCCATGGTACACGGGCAACCGCAGACGGTTTTAGTGGCACAAACCGCTCAACAGCAAGGCTCCCCGGCTAAGACCATTATTATTCTGCAACAACCCAACACCTCGGCCACCCACCATCCCAAAGTAGTAGTCACACCCCAAGGGCAACAAGTCGTCGTCACTCAAGTCCAGAGGCCTCTGTTGCAAACGGCTTCTACGACCCCCAACATTGTTCCTACTCCGACGTCGACGGTTATCAAAACCACAGGCTCGGTCGCGGTTAGCCAAAGCGTCGCCCCCACCACTTGTACAGTAATAGAAAAAAAACCGGAGGATCCCAAGCCAATCGTTAAACCAAAAATTGTAAGGGACGTCTTGACCCCGTTCGTATGCGAGTGGGGCGACTGTCAAATGTAAGTTAACAATCGAATTAGCGCGACACGACACACTTTTGTTTTAGTGACATTAAATTTAAGTCGGCGAATCAGGTTTATCTGCACGTTTGTGCGGCGCACTGTCCCGAAACCGAAGAGGAGCTGACCTGCCAGTGGGACCGCTGCGACAACATGAAACGGAAGCGATTCTCGCTTATGACGCACATTTTTGATAAGCACTGTAACTTGGAGGTGAGTGTCGCGCCGAAGCGCTCTCGTCGTAGTTGACCCTTGCGTTTCGCAGGCGATGAAGCAGAGCCAAGTCAAACGAAAACATCAATCGCAAACGGGTAAACCCGAACCTCCGTCTCCTAGTCCGGTGGCGCCGCACCCCGGCTACGCGCCCGACGCCGCGCTGCACGCGATCAAACGTCACGCTTTGGAGTTCGTGAATCCCAAGGAATTGCAGGTAAGATTTTATCGTGAGGGGTTTAAAGGTACTATGAGCGCTTTCTTTACTGTATCTTTTGATTTCCTCTTACGTCAGCAAGGGACGGCTAAACAAGGCACTGTCACTGCTTCTCCGTCTGTGCCCAGGTCTGGGCCTACGTCTACTGAGCAGGTGAGGTGTTGGTGAAGTTGTCCGTTGCTTTTATGCCTGCTTTTAGTTAGTTTGTAACTTATTCTATTTGAGTTTGTATAAGTAATTGGAATGGGATTTTGAAGGTTTGCTTTGAGTAGGTTGTGATGTAAATGAGTCAATAAAACGAACGCGTTTGTCGGTGTTTTTGTTTCATTATTTGTTATTTCATCGCCCAACTCAACATCTCCGCCCATTCAAAGTTTGTATTGTGTTTTCTTCTCACTGGGCGGAGCTTCAATGTTCATTGTTGTTTGTACTACTCTCTCTCTCTCATATGAATTGTATTTGGGCATGGAAAAATATGGTGTGTACATAATATGTGTGATGTTTTGAATATTTCACTTAAGGTGGGATGAGCACTGGTCCATTTTTTCTGAGGAAATTAAGGGGTGGTGTAAGTCATCAATTTTCAAAGCGAGGATGGTAAACATAAATTTATTTCGGTCATTTTCCAGAACAGCTGTCATTATCTGCAAACAACTGTTGTTGCTCACTATTTATTTGTTACTTCACTGACTACAAAGATTCTGGTGTTTAACCCCACCCAAAGGAAAACTTTATAACTTGCATGAACCTCCCCTTGTGGTTTGGTTTCTGAAAGTAGTTGTTTTCCTTTTTCTCCCTTTTTTTTTTAATTTTATTTAAACCTTTTCTTTCGTAACTTTATGCTTTTAATGGAAATCAAATAGACTATTATTATTATAAACAAATACAAAGATAGCCCAATGTACTTTTGTAGCTACACCTATTGTATGTATCAACAGGGAATAGTACAAGCAACAAACAGTTTCTTTATTTTCTCGTTCATCAAAAATGATTTCATTAGTAATAGAAGTGTGCCATGTATGCTACCCTGAGCAACTCCTTTCACTATCTTAAGAATATTAATAATTATTCCTGTACTATTCAGTATAGATGCACAGAAATTGACCACAGAATACAGTAACAAATTTGAATATCGAACCAGCATGTGAAAATGCCTTGTTTAATGCCTGTAAAATCAAATTTGCGCTTTTTTTTGGTGTGATTTTACTGTTGGTAGGCGATTATAGTTTTGTGTTGTTCTAGAGGTGTTATTTTGTTGTTTGTTCAAGGATGACAACGAAGGGCCGGTCACTAAAAGCATGAGGCTGACAGCAGCTTTAATTCTTAGAAACCTGGTTATTTACAGCAACAACTGTAAAAGGTAAGTGGCGGCGCGGTGTGTTCGGTGAAATCTATATCGACTGTTTTAGGTACTTACGGCATTATGAACCACATTTGGCGAATGTTGCACTTAGTAATGTAGAATCGTCACGGACTGTAGCACAAATATTGTACGACATAAGTGATAGTGTGACTCGGAGGTGACCATCACGGTTAACGTGGACATTGAATTAAAAAGTGGCGTGAACTTGTCCGGGCGATAAAGGGACCCCCGCATGTGCTTAACGATTATTATGGAAATGTACAAATGTTAATGGATAAGTCGTAGTAAAAGCCTAATTGTTATTTTTATATAATTTGATAGGTAAACGTCGCTTTTAAAATATGCAAAGTAGTTTAGTTTAGCAATGTTGTAAAGAAATATGGTTTTATATTTCGTGCAATTTTTATTTCTGAAAAATATTTATTGAATTTTTTGTGTAGAGTTGTAAATAACAATGGACATTTTGACTTGTGCTATATTAAGAATAAGGTACTTGTTAAACAATACTTGTGATAATGAAGTACACGGTTTAACAGTATTATAATGCAGGCGATAAACGTGACATTTCTGAATCTCGTGTCCACTCTTGATATACCTATTGAATAGAAACTAACTCAGTATATTTTCATGTGTTTTATAGCAGCATCATCATCCACTACTTACCAGAATGAAAAAGCACTGTAAAATGTTTACAATTATAAATAAACTGCGTTTACTGTATATACATCATATATAATATTTGATCTATGTTTCATGTGTATTTCTGCCATTTTTATTAAACAAACAACAATTAACTGTTATGGTGTGTAACAGACTCAGGTTGCAAAGCAAAATAAAGTTGAATGACATTCTATTTGTTATCTGTCATCTGCTATCTTTTCTTAGTATACGGGGTGATCCAAAATGACTGCATGACATGTATAAATAATTTATTTAGGGTGCGGTCATAGATTTACAATGATTGCTATTTTTACTGAAGGCATTTTCGTAAATTTTGATAGACCTATGTGCGCATGTGTTAATTTTACTGAGATTTGCTCAGTTTACTGATGTGAAAAGGTGATGTGTGTGAAGTTATTTTCAATTGTTCACATGCGATAGTTCTGACTATTCTCATACTTTGAGACTATATAATGTATGTACACTCTCTATCACATGTGATCAACGCCACATATTTTCCTGTCGCCTATTTTTTTTACAAAAAACTTGGGTCTAAACACAAACACCTTATTAATAATTGTACTAGGCGATGGGTATTCATTTTAGCAAAAATCATAGTACGGTTTTTGATTTTAGTACCCATGCTGCGTCCAAGACAGTGAGGGTCAAGGGAATGGTTCAAAAAATGTGGAGCATACATTCGATCTATTCTTTTAATAGAAGTTTCGAATTGCTTTATTTAATTTTTGAAAAAAATGAACTTAAAAAAATTAGAAATTTAGGTGATCATATAAATTTATTTTTATACAAGGGCCTGCAACAGTGCGTCGGTCTTTCCTAGCTCATACCTGGTACAAAAATGTAACAAAAAGCTTTTGTGCAAATGTCACTATGGATAGTTGCACACCTACACAAATTATTTTTAAACGTACAAGTGTCCCTTTTTTTATGGTGTCAATAAATAGCCGATTTTTAAATAGAACATCCTGTATATATACATTGAAGCTATTCACTTTTTGATTTTTTGTCAATGTTTCTATCTTAATTTTTCCGCATAATTCTTCATAAAAGCAAACCTAACTTACATTGATTTTGATGTTAAGAGATGCATTTGATCATTAATGTTAATCTGAATAAAAGGCAGCAGTGGCGTATTTACCGGGGGGATGAAGGGGATATATCCCCCCCACAGAAGAATTGAGTTATCATCATATAGCTATTAGGTATTTAGGTAATACTCCGCCCACTTTAAAATAAAGGCAATAATATATAGGTATATATAGAAAGTAATTTTGGTTTTGGTTAAAGTCTAAAGTCACTAAAATCTAAATATTCTGTAGTATTCACTATTCAGTGAGTGATCAGTGTTGGCAGTCAACGATTTGACTATTCGGCATCGATCGGCAATTCGCTACATTGATGCCCAAAATAACAAATAGGTATCAGGTACTTAGTACTGCTACTGAGGTGAGGTACCTGCGTCCTGCCTTTCACGAAATGACGAAAATAAGAATTTTAAAAACAGGAATTTTTTTGCCCATAACTTTTGATGGAGACGTCTAATCGAAAAAGTACGAATCGTTTTGGATTCTACGCACCCAAATTAATAAGAAAAAGTTTTTTCCCGAGAAATTTTGGTGCAGTCGATTTTTGGGAAAAAAGGAAGGTTTATACACTGCCTTTTTTTGCCCCGAAAAAAAAATTGTCTCAGATTGACCGGAAAAAAATTTTTCCTTATAGAATGTGGCCTGTAGAATCCATAATTTCAAGCAGTTCCAAGATCGGACTACTAGATCAAAAGTTACAGTCCTTTGAAATTGGTTTTTTGCCCATAAATATACCTATTATTCAAAGTTTTCGTTGACTAATCAAAGCAAAAGCAATAAAGGGGCCTGTCAGCAGTAAGAAATAAAATACCGTTCTAATCTAATCTTTTTCGCCTGTATAATAATAAATAGATAAATGACTACCAGCAACCTGCAACCCAATTTCTATTTCTTACCCCCCCCCCCCCCTTATAGTACGCACTGGGTAACTGACTGTATGTGCCACGAATTTGTTTAATCCCCCCCAGAATAAATTTCTACGTACGCCACTGAAAGACAGCCGCACCTTGATAATCAGAAACTTGGAATTAGTGATACAGGGTGTTCACAAGGAAATGGTAAATGCCATACCTACTTTTTTTCAAATGGAACTATCACAATTTTATTTGGCTATTCGATAGTGTTTTGTCTTCTCCTCAATTTTTACATCTTTAGGTACCTAGCCATTAATTAATTACATGTTTATACACCAGAGTAGGCAGTAATAATAAAAAACAAAAGAGTGTCACAAATTAATTATTTACTGCAAGTGTACCCCCAATTTCGTAGTAAAAAAACTAGTTCATTTTTTTCCAGATTCACCTTTTTAATTAATCTGATTTTATTACAAAATAGGAAGTACACTTGCAGCAAATAATTAATTTGGTCTCGCCAACTTGGGGCGGAGGGAGGCCTTTCCTTTAGTGGCCACGCTAAGGGCAAAAAAAACTCAAGTGCAAGCCTGAACAGCTTATGCCGATGGGCTGAATGATCGAGGAGGTAGGCTTAATGGTAAATAAAGTGAACTCTGAATACCATTAAACTTTCAGGTTCAAATTTCTTTTATTACGATATGGAACTCGGTCATAGGTTTAGTTTGAACTAAAAACAAATTACAACCTAGGGGAGGTGCCTGTGTAAGAGCACCAGAGCATGGTTTGGAGACTGGAAGACTTCTGGATAGTCCACCCAGTCTTCGGATGGCAAGCGTGTTGGCGACGAGAGCCAAAAGACCTTAGCTGTATCGTGCTGCCATGAAACGTTTACATTGGCTAAGGCAGCAAGGGGTCGAACCATCACAGGCTCAAACAGACAAAAGGAAGAAGAGAATTGGCGTAAAAAAATTTTTCCTACAAAAAATTAATACATTTTTGCTCTAAAATAATTTAGGGAGCCAATAATCGCATGTTATGAATTTTATATTGAAATCCCTATGATGCGTTACGCAAGTCTATTAATGAACAAAAAAATTCCAGGGTTTCCTTTTCACTAGATAGTGCTAATTGTGTTGCCTAAACACCAGGTGTTTTGTTTTTTTCCAGGTACAGTGTAGTTTACGATAGTTTCCCCTTCCTACTCTCTTTTCATTTTGAAATTGATTTATTATTTTGGCTTATAAATACAGATTTCGCCTCGTTTTCCTTCCATACGATATACATACATAAAGGGTATTCGTCCAAGAAGATGCAGCATGTCGTACAAATTAAAATCTGTTTTTTTTGGGGTTTTTGAACTGCAATTTACTAAAGGTCTCTATTGCAAATTGAGGAAAGTCAAACGTGTGCTAGAACCATTGAATTTATAACTACTACCTACATATAAATTCAATGCTAGAACTAGAATAAACTTGCGTTAGGCAAATAAAGAAAAACAAGTCAATTTTACATTGATTTGGGTTAATGTCGAAGCCGTAAAAATGAGCGCTTAACGAAATCCTCCCCTTGTAGCTACAATTTAGGTCAAGAAGTTGATAAAATCGATACCAGTTCAAGGTACTTTTAATATTCAATTGTTTCAACGGCGGCTAGATTTGAATCGAATCGTAGCGCAACCGACGCCGGCTCGTGTAAACACGACCTGCTGTAATGGAATTTCATTGACGCGCCATCTATCAGTCTCGATATGTCGCTCTTGCGTTCCAGATTTTGTAGTCCCTAAACGTCTTTACAGCACAGAAGACACTTATTTATCGTAACGATCTTATTTCCGTTTGTTTGTTTATTTATTATTTAAAAGTATATCGCGATGCAGTGGTAAAATGTCCGTTAGTGACCGCTTAAGACCGTTTGTGTGAAAAGTGTCCGGTCCGCCGTGTGTTTTCGTTTTAAAGTGGTTTTCCTTTAAAGGATTGTCTCAATTGCTCAGGTACGTACAATTTGATGACGTTCAATTTTCTGCATCTAATTTCCCATTAAAAAATATTAAAAATCGGTTAAGCGATTATAGCCGGTTATGTGTATTAAACGTAGAGGAACCTACTCTAGCCGTCGCTCAAGGTCGTTTTAGGCACCTGTAGGAGTAATTAGAGGAATTTCCATTTGGAAATTGCCCATTTAATATTCTTAGCCGCTGCACGATTGTTTTAACGAGGATGAGTGATTAGTACGTAAGTTATTGTTAACACGTCATTCGTGTATCGTGTAATGAAAAAAAAGGCGCGATATCAGGTTATGTAAATTGAATACCTACGATTTTCGATCACGCTTTCCTTATTCAGGGATGAACTTACAGCCCAAACTGACCTTTTGCTTAGATCATTTGGAACGATTTCAAAGAGGGTTATGGAAGGGCACATTTACCATCGAAATGTTCTATTCCAGCCGATTTATTTACATTGGTCGTCGCTGAGCTGCTCAAGGTTTCGTATTTAAGGCCTTTATCTTAATGATAAAAGATATCCTATATCCTTGTTTTCATTAAATATTTTCTAGGTCGTGAAGTAAGAGTAATCCACGCCCACCCCTAATAAATACACACAGTGTGGCTTATTACTTGTTGATGTAGTGTGAAAAGTTTCACCAGGCACAAATTCCTTATGAAATCCCTTGAAGTCTCATCTTCAAAGTGTGTTTCATGATTAGTGCCACTGCAAAGTCACAGCCTTGTTGTTTTATGATAACTGCGATATTCAATTTTTACTGGGCATCTACTTTTTGAAAAAATGACGAATTGCGGCCAAACAACTCATTTTAGTTATCGTAGGTAGGTATAAAGTAACACTAAAATTGACCAAGGAATCGAAATATGTACAGGGGGTTCCATTTAAAAAATGTAACTTGGGTATAAATCACCATGTACAACAATTGCAATTTCGTTGAAAATGTTTTTAGGTTATAGCCGAGGTTGTTGCCTTAAGGGCCCTTCAACTTGCTCCGACAATGAATTTTATGGACGTTAATAAACCCACACACTAATGGCCCACCCTGTATAATGATAATGGGATCATAAATAGTGAATTCTGGTATCATCCTTTTTTTAGTCATACTAATTTTGTAAAATTGAAAATTTACACGTACAAAAATCTAGGACTTAATTACAATTACAATAGGTGCTTATTTCGCGAGTTATTTCCAAACGAATTTTGCATTTTCCGGGAATATACGGGAATCTTAGCATTGCTGAGAATGAATATGCGCACACCGGAAATCTAAGGGAATGTTTCCCATACATTATCGAGAAATTTACGGGAATATCTTCCCAGTGGCGTATTTACGGGAGGGGATGAAGGGGATATATCCCCCCCCCCCCCATCATAGCTATTAGGTATTTAGGTAATACTCCGCTATCCGCTCCGCCCACTTTAAAATAAAGGCAATAATATATAGGTATATATAGAGAGCAATTTTGGTTTTGGTTAAAGTCTAAAGTCACTAAAATCTAAATATTCTGTAGTATATACCTATTATTCAAAGTTTTCGTTGACTAATTAAAGCAAAAGCAATAAAGGGACCTGTCAGCAGTAAGAAATAAAATACCGTTCTAATCTAATCTCTTTCGCCTGTACAATAATAAATAGATAAATGACTACCAGCATTAGCAACCTGCAACCCAATTTCTATTTCTTACCCCCCCCCCCCTTCTAGTACACACTGGGTGACTGTATGTGCCACGAACTTGTTTAATCCCCCCCCAGAATAAATTTCTACGTACGCCACTGTATCTTCCGAAATTTCCAGTGTGATCGGGAAAGTTCGTACGTATCAAACGAGGTAGGTATCAAATTTTAAGATCCGCAGCATGGAATTTCTGCATTTTCGCAAATGCTTTAGATTTTTTATGAAGTTTTTTATTTTCGAATTGTTGAGTGAGTTTTCTTTAAATTTTATTGAATTTTTGGTTTCGTTTTGAACGAGGGGTCAACCTCGGTTTTGAAGGTGCAGATATTTTTTAATGGAATATGAACTAAGATCGAGACCGAGACTAAGACTGAAAGATTTTTCCTCGGATTTTTCTTTTTGATGTATGTTAAATAAACAACACGATTATATCTCAAGATATCGAGATGCGGTTTTCGCGAGCTTGTTTAGGCATCATTTAGCTACTTTTTCATGAAAAAAAAATCAAACCAACGCATTTAATTTTTTTGAGAAAATTAACCATTTCTGTCGGAATGTCGAAAAAGGCCCTCAAGCGGCGATATGTGAAACTAACAAAACTTCAAATATTATAATATTTCTAGCCGAAGAATAACCCTTGTTAAAATCGGCGCAGTCGTTTCGAAGATACAGGGTGTTCTTTACGGAAACCTTTAAATACCCCCCGCCACTTCATTTTTAGAGATACAGGAAAAATTGTCAAACAAACTTCAAAGACTGGACATTTTTTTGTTAGGTTAATATAGCGGAATTCAGAGAAAAATCACTTTTTTAGATTCCCGTAAAGTCACTACATATAGAAAGTACCGCAATCATTCGCCATTTTTGGGCAAATTTGCTGCCAACTTAAAAAAATTGACAAATAAAATCTGAATAGCTGTAATTTTTTATAACCTAACTTCATAGTACTGTCATGTTTTATAATAGTATATTAAAGCATAAGTTGCAGAAGGCGCTATATTCTAGCACGAGTTCAAGTTTGAACGAGTGCTAGAAAGGCCTTCTGCAACTTATGCTTTATACTATTTTCCCTGTTGAGCATTTTAATTGTATTAAAAAAATTAACAATTCCAACATTTTCTGTAATAAATATTTCAATAAAGAAATTAAGTTGGCAACACCAACAATTTTTCAATAAAGAAATTAAGTTGGCTACGCTACATTTTGAAAAAATTCAATTTAACAAGCGCGTCAAATACGAATTTGTGCAGTATATTTTAGTTTTTTCAATAAAAAGTGAATAATGTGCGAAGAAATTCTTCCTTCCACTCCTCCAGAGCTTCGACAGTTAGCAGAAGAGACTGTTCCTCGGACTGTTCATAATTTGCTACCAGGCAATAATTCCACAATAATTCTAAAAGTTTATAATAATTGTACATTTAGTGACAAAGATTAGTTTTGTAATTTTGTTAGGTTATAAAACCTCATTTGTATTAAATGTGGATTTCTCTAAGTATCTACACTGAATTTTCAATACCTAATGATTACAATTACCCGTATCGTTAATAACTGTAACATAATGTTATAACAATAAGTGAAATTAGTCCACATTTTACTAAACCGTTGAGATAAGTATTAACGTCTAAATCATCCAGGCAGAACTTTGAATTGAATATTCGCGTATATGATCAGCCTGGATGATTTAGACGAGCATGCCAACCACTGAATACCAAATGTTCTTAAAAATCTGTCAGTTGTGGAAAATAGTTACCAAAAATAGTGTTGGAATGAAACTCATTCCAGCACTATTTTTGATATCGGAATGCTGTCATTATAAACGCAAAACAATCTCCAAACAGGTGGAACAATCCCTAACATTAAGGTTACTAGAATCTGGTAACTTCCGCCATTTTTGGGCAAAAATCATACGTTCTCTCTCTAACACACGAGCCCAATGGATTGCGGTACTTTCTATATTTAGTGACTTTACGTTGTGTCTTATGAACGAGCCCATTATCTTTACAATTTGGGGGGTTTGACACTTGGTTTGACATCTGTCACACAAGAACAACATTCGCTTGTCAAAAATAAATTTTAAATCGACAGCCAATTCGTTTTGGTTGACAATTAGCAGTAGTCGGCAGATGTCAGAAAAAATCTTCCCAAGACTTTTGCATAACGTGCGTCAACCGAAGCGTGGAACTTAGGTCACACATCCCGAACGAAAGGTTCAACCATGAATCCATGGCAGAAACGGAATCCTCAGCCTATCCGCCATAGTTTGAGACGAGGTTTGAGAGATGTTGTAATGAGGTGTAAAAAAATTGTTGTTCTTAGTCAAACGGCATCCTATAGTGCTCGTAAACTTAAATTATGTGGCTGACGCATTCTTAAGGCGCGCTAATTAGTGCAAATTTATTTCGTTTTTATCGTCTTTATGCTCAGTTTACCTATAGCGTGTACTTAATCTGACCGTTTTTTTTTTCTGCAAACAGGTGACTATGAGGAAGGCGCTATCTTTGGAAAGTTTTTCTTTGCGGCCGAACCTGCAACGTGGAGTTCAATGGCTATCAGGTTTCATTTTACTTAACCTTTGCTTTTGACCCTCCTCCCTTTTTTTTTCAGTAAAAGTAAAGTTTGCCGCTATGGATTGTGTAGACATTAATATGTAGGTGCGTGTACATGTAAATTGTACGTGTCTTTATTTGCCAACTTTCTTTCCTTATTGGTATGCTAAGTGCAAATAGGTATCTCATTAAAGAATGATTGCTTCATTTCTCGTATTGTTATTATTATTATTATTTATTAACTACTTGCTTTGAATCGCAATTAAGTGCGGCGACCAGAACGGGGAAAAAATCGAAACTCCGTTCGGTAATTATTGTAATTATCGGTGGGTGGTCGAGGTATTTATTAGATCGGTACTACGGCGGAGAGTGAACAAACTATAATTGATGGCGAAACTGTAATTATTCAACTAGCTATGCCCCGCTACCATTTGGCTGTTCATCTGGAAAGAAGTAGTAGGTTGACAAGGCATTTCCCAGTAAAAAGTTGCCGAAGGTATGGGATATTCAGGCGCAGACGCCATTGCTGTAAGCAAAGATCTACCCCCATATAGGAGGTAGATGATTTTCTCATTTTGGGAAAAACGCACCCGAGGGCGTTGCTTAGCATTTTTGGAGAACTATGTAGACAATAGCGAATAGTAGCTACACACCGAGCTACATACAATAAAATCTACTATTTCAAGATAGCAGATCCCGAGGCAGATCCTTAAGCGAAAGTGGCATTGGGACTTTGGTGCGCTATCAAAATTGCGCACCTAACTTTCCCCATTAGACTGCTTTCAGTTTTGCCACTTTTATTTTCACGTCCAAACACTTTTCAGTTCTTTCTTTTAGGTCTAAGAAACGCGCCAAGAATATGTGTACCAAATTTAGTTCCCATCCGTTCAACCGTTTAGAAATGAGAGTACAGACCGAGGTACAGACAGACCGACATCATCGGGATTTTACTTGATTCGGATTCCTTGTGCTTCAAAACGTGTATTTCGGTCAAAAAAGTGGGCGTGGGGAGATCATTTTTTTACCCCAACGTAATACCTCCCTTACTAACGTGCGGGTAGTTTCGTGACCTACTTACAATTGTATAGGGGGGTGCCATTTGAGATTTTTAAAAATATCACATTCAAAAATTTTTTGATAAGACACCCAAAAAATTATATGACAGTGGAAGAGGTCTTAGCATACGCCAAAATTTAAAACATTAGCCGCCGGCGCGAATAGTTTCTATAAAAAAAACCTCGAAAAAAACTGTAAAATTTTGAGGAAGTTACCTAAAAAAATAAGTACTTTCCAAATCTGCAATGAAATATGGAACGCCACTGGAATACAGCACGCCACTGGTGACCAGAAATATTTTTTAAAATTTTCCCTCATTTTGTTGTTATTGAAGAACGAGGACTAGAATTTTTTGCATTGTCTAAAAATGGCCAGTATATATTTACATTTTCCCAGTTTCTGGTATTTCCTCGGTGTTTCCTATGGGCTAATTTTTCTACCGTGTGTTATATTTTGAATGAGCCGCCTCACGCCTCAAGTGTATCTCGGCTGTTTTTAAAGATAGAGACACTGTGCCATTTTTTTGTGAGGCTTTTAATACCACAAACAGAATCAAGTTAGTTACGTTTGTTTTTGAGATACAGGGTGAAATCGAGGGTGAAATCGAAGCGTTTGACTTTTTGGGATGTAAAGGTAAAGGACTCGAGGGGAAAACTGTCTATTTTAGATATGTTTACGCCTCGGTTTACGCTAAATCCAATGGCGTAAGTAGCCAAACAAAATTTTGGACCACCTTTTCTGAGATTTGACCCTAAGTATTGCAACACCCTGTACATCTGAACGTCAATTTTTTTGTATTCCCGATTACACTCGCGATTACATTGATGTATCACTATCACAACCTATATTTACCATGAACAGAAAATAAAAACCTTATTTTTTTACGGTTTTTAAGTAGTAAACCACGGATTCATAGATATTTTGTATTGTTTATTGTATCCATGGCAGCCGCGACACCAATCAATAAAAATGGCTGACGGTGATTTCCAAAATTTGGAAAATATGATATAATATACTATAATATATGTAATATGTAATCATGAAAAAAATTGCAAACAATTGACAGTAAGATATACAGTGTGTTGCATTTAAAAAGTACCAACTTTGGCTCAAATCTCAGAAACACTGATCCAAAAAATTTGGCCAAAACCGTCTTTATCTTTAAAATCATAAACAAGGCAAAAACTGTCTCTTTTAGATATTTTTACGGAAAACCAGTGGCGTAGTTAAACAAAATTTTGAACCACCTTTTCTGAGAAAGTTGGTATTTTTTAAATGCAACACGCTGTGTGTAACGTCAGTTTTTTTTTGCATTCTATTTCCTGATTACATTGATGTATAGCAACTTATATATTTTTAAATTTTAGCCATGAACCAAAAATAAAAACCTTATTTTTTACGGTTTGTAAATAGTGGGCCATGGATTCGCATGGATTCATGGAGATTTTGTTTTGTCTATTGTATCCATGGTAACTAAGGGGGCCAGCCCCATACAATAATAATGGCTGACGGTAATTTCAAAAATATTATATAATATAGTAATTAGGTACCTACTTATACACTGTGTCCAAGATAAGGATGTCTATCAAGCAACAGTCACATTGCTATACTCTACAAAATCAAATCCACAATTACAGTACCAGGGGTGGTGAACTGGTGAGGCATCAATATATAAGATTGCAATGTAGTAGATATGGGGCCAATTATTACAGTCCTCGCTTTTTAAACAAATTACCTAGCGACGTAGTAAGGCTACCATCCAAAATTTTCAAAAATAAAATTAAAACATTTAAAAAAAAACAAAGTTTTGACGACATTAACGAATTTTTGAATTGTCAATGGTCTTCATCCGATTTCAATGTAAGTTAGTCATTAAATGTATTTGTCTCTTGATTTTTATCCTTTTCTAAACTGACGTTTGTAAACAAAAAATGTTTTTTGTCTTAACAACAATAAAGATTATTATTATTATTATCATACGGATTTCCGAAACCATAGAAGGTACGACGATGGTCAAATTGGGTAAAAGTTGCGCTATTAAACATTATTATCATGATTTAAAGAAAACCAGAAACTTCCGATTACTTTCGAACGTATGCCAGAAATCCCGACTTGGTTATTTTTTTCTGATGTTATTTGAACAGATACAAAAAAATAAAAAAACACCTACTCATTGCGCTCTAGAGGACACCATTGAGAGATTTTCAATACGTTTCGTTCCGGAGAAATCATCATCAACTTTATTTTTGTAGGCATATGGCCCGTAAAAAAAGTACACACTGTATTGAGTAGCATTTTTTATTATGAATTATATATGGCACACGCAAAACAATTAAAAGTTGGAAATTGTTGGTTTCAACAGAATGGTGCACCCGCGCACAACTTTCCTTGAAAATGGAAAATTTGTCCGATATGTATTCTCTCGTCCGATGGCAATATGTGACCATGTATTTGTTTAAAATTTGCTCTTTATTTACCCAGAATGTCCTCTATTTGCACACAGTTTTTTTACAGGGTGTTCTTCAATGACGTAGCAGAACTGGTACCAGCGAATCTAGTGTTTTTTGACTTTTCTACTGACGCAGCATTTCCAAGATCATCTCATTTGACCTAACGGACGGACACATCCGAGGACACATCACTTTTCTGACATTAGTTCTCAAAACATTTACATTTTAAGTTGTGACCCCACCGATCGATAGATCGCGTCTATACTCTTCATTTTCTGTTTGTATAAGGCCTTCCTTCTAAACTTAGTACTCGAGCTATTCGAGTTTGATGAAAAACCATTTCTTTCACCCAGGCCTTTTGAGTATCATGAACACCAGAAGGATTATAGTCAACCCCTCCCTTCTCGAATTTTTTTTCTGACACATCCGAACAGAATGGCGCATATTTCATCATTCCCTTCTTATAATTTTGGAAAACTTTGAAAAATTCGGAGTTGAAAGCTTTCTTGTACACAGACAGACGGATCCACAGGAATGGAGGACGTAAGTGACGTTCTCGAGTTATTTTTGCTGATTAAGAAAATATTCCAGTCGGTCCTTCCAACCGAATCAACAAAATTTTTGACTCGAAATTGATGTGTTATATTTCGAATAATTTCGTAATGGGCACAGAACAGAAACAAAATATTTCCTAATTTCATGGCGACACCCAATTCTCATCTTTGATTACGTGCGACGCAATCAGAAGAACCTTTTCGTTGACTTATCTTGACCTGGTTAGATTAGGCAACTGTCAATTGGTTGAACCCTGTTCGAACGATATCAACGAGTATTAATTATGTAACTTTAATCAGGGGGGGGGGGGGCTCGGGTTCGCCGTTAAAACTAGGAACAATTCAATCATTGGGTTGTTCCGGCGCTTCACCTGCATATCGAAATATCCTCGCCTAATCTCATTCGCCATAATTAAAAGTGCCACGATCCGTGGAAATCCTCCGATTGTTTGTTAAATAGGCGTAACTAATACGATTACGCATAGAAAGTGGTTACCATCCTTAGACACTTGCGCAATCCAAGTAAAGAAAGAGCGGTTGAAAGTATGAAAGTTGATAACAAATTCCGGAAGTAGAGCATAATCTTTTTGGTAGAAATTCAGTTTTTTTTTAAGAAACCAGGGACCGGACAAACCAGCCTGTATATTGGTTTGAACAATAATATTTTTATTTATTTACGTTTACTGTTCATTATAATTTTAAATTGCTTAAGTGAGTTGTATGTACCTATTTTTAATTTGGTACATTGTCGGCACTACAATAGATATGTATTGTGATTATGTCAATCACAATATACCTTCTGCGGATACAGTAGTAATTGCTAATAGAAAAGCGTGGCGAATAGTTCAGGACCCTATTGAGATCCATGTGGAATGCCGGTGGACGTCTTTTCAACACGGATAAATGACCACGGCCACGTCTAACGCTAATAATTTAATATCGATCAGAACCGTTGAGTGAAGAAATCAGGGGTAGAACGTAATTCCACCAATGTTTTAAACGTTCTTGTTTCGCTCACCTTGAATGGAATTGTTAGCATTACAGGATTGATTAAACAACAGTTCAATTAATTTATTACTCTAATCGTTTGCGAAACAGAGGGTCATCCGCTATTTAAATACTTGCAAGAGTCGAGACGGACTCGGTAACAAGTCTATTACTTCAATTTTACAACAACGTTAATCCGATCTTTTTGATGCACCAGTTATGTCACTTTCAATTGTCTCGTCAAGAACAAATTATTCACGCTATCTAAATAACGACGAGTAGCGAAAGCTAAATCCAATTAAGTATTCCAATCCAAGTTCGTTTCTCGAATGCTAAGTGATTGTCTTTTGTTTATAGAAAATCGATGAATATTTTAGTATGCACAATTACACGTTTGAATTTCCCAGTCTTTTTATTAAAATGGTTAAGTACATGTGTAAATTGCGAACTGACAAAAAACCGCAACGGCCCAAATGTAGATCCTTGGGGCCCTCCAGATTGCAAATTTTCAGGATCGTCTATCTGAAAGGACGGTGACGCAATGGTCTCTTACGTAAGTGACACTGGTAATTAAGTATCTATTTAATTGTAAACGCAAACATTGATTCCGTCTACCTTATCATGCCGGCGCCATTTATTAATGTGTCACGTGATTTTCAAATGGGCCCCTTTTTCTGATATTGCAATAATTTTGTGGCGTAGCGTTAGTCAATGAGAGAACGTCATATCTCTAAATAACGGAAGCAAGGGATTTAATCGTATACAGTCTGTGGTGAGTGGTTAGATGTAATGTAATCAAACGATGGTCCTCCAATCTAAACGGCGACAGAATGAAGATAGGGCTCCCGATAAGATTGGTTACTTTTAATGGATATTGGGATACAATAACAATATCTCCCCCTTCTAGAGAGATTCTGCTCTGCTCAGATGACGTGGGTTTTATTTTGTCGGGACTATGGGCCGGTTTCACAAACGGTGATTCATGGTTAATCAATGGTTAAAAATATGGGGTGACTAGCATTAGGTGCAATAGCCTATGGAAACTCGAGATGTATTAATAAAAGAAGAAAAATGTCAACTTATTTTTTAAGGGTTGAGTGGAAGAGCAGACACGGATATTTACCCGTATCCGAACTCCACCATTTAGACAGGATCTATAGAAAATGTTTCATAAAGTCATTTATTATTATTATTATTAAGGCCCCCCCCCCCCCCAAATCAAATGAACATTTTTTATTGGCCGAATTTTCGAAACCTGTAACACCATTTTCTTTCAATTGTTGTTCAAATAGTTTTTTTCAAGATTTGCTCTATTCAAAAGATATAGTGAGGTGATTATAGAATAAATTAAAATTCTTTCCTGGGATTGGATATCAGTATGAGTGTAGCGTTTTAGTGTTCATCGTCTAACTCGAGAACGAAAAGGGACAGCGATGTCAAAGAAAGACAAACTGTACAGGTATGCCTCTCCGGTCCACCGCAACGTGTATGGCCGGCCTTAGACAGCATACTGAATACATTTAGTTGTTGCCAAATGTCGGATCCGAAGCTGATGGATGAGGACTGTGAACGGTTTGGCAACTGCGTGGGAAAGAGATGATGTTTCTCCTTCATTCTCTGAAAGACGGTATCCACATCAGAACGGTGGTGTGCATGAGTCTATAGGGTTATCCTGCTCGGTTTTCAGTATCCCCCAATCGAGATATTTGAAGAATCTCTGAATTTTCAAAAATTTATCACAAAACTTTGGAAAAGTACAATATCCGCCAATAAACTCGAATCTATTGAAATGTTCATCTCAATTGCCTCGAAAATAAAAAAGGCGATGCGAATTTATTGACGCATGTAACCGATAGCAACGAAATATTTAGGTCGAGTGCTCCCAATTTTCTTTCGAACGCAAGGCGGGACTCCTTCCGTTTCATCTCGTTAATTTGACTAATAAGCGCGAACGCGAATGGAATTTTCGCAAAAGCACCTCCGTCGAAAGATACCGTTCGATTTTACGTCCTGTTGATACGTTTCAATGCCGCGAGCCTATTTTTAACATCTAATTACGCGCGAAATTAAACGGTTGTCGATGAATCAACCGAAAACATGATGATATATTGATGAGTATCCGACGTGAAAAAAAATTACATTCATCGCACCACAAATACGGATTATTGAACTCCAAGAAAATTTCCTTATTCTTTATAAATATTATAATGTTGTTTATAACTGTTTCGAGCGGCAAGCAAAATATAAAACCGAGTAGGAACTGAAGTCCTATAACTGTTAATCCTCATTGTATCCTACATTTACTGTATAATTAAATTATGCATATTGTACGTCTAGCCGAAAGAATATTAGAAAATTACCATTCCATTAACACGAGCTTGGATCGTTCTACGTACAGCTTAGTTACATAATGCGCCAAATATAGCGTGGGATGATGACTTTTTAATACTGTTAACAACCTCGAAAACACCCATTCTATTTCGATCCGCGTTAATTTCGCGAATCTAGAATCGATGTGGCTTTGCGAATCGAAAACTGCCAATGAAAATCGGGGAAATCCTCCATTAGGAGAAACAATCGAAATCCCAATTTGTCGAAGTCAAACTTTAGTTATTGTAAATCAAGGGGATTATTTAGGAATACGCACACAGCTGGTTTATTTTACTTGAATTTGTGTCTCTGTGTTGTTTTTCTTGTTTAAAGTTCGCCGCTTTTGTCAATTGTTTATTTAGATTTGTGTATTTAATTGCAAAACGTGAAGTAGTGACATCTGGTCGTTTGCGATAAGAAGTTTTGCTATCGGATCAAATTTAATTAACGCACTCGTTCTTATCGCTGTTAGATGCAGATGTTACGATGTGCGCGTTAGTTCGGCGTAAGTGGGGGCGCATTCCTTCGAAACTGGCGTTATCAGCCGTGATTGGCCGTGTTTTTGAAAATTCTGAAGGAGACGGTACGGTAATTATACGGTAATTAACGTAAAAACGAGGCGATTGCTAGCTGTTAGTCCTTCGCGACGGTAAAGAGAGTGTTTACGCCAAATCTCGGACGTTCAGCCCTAGTTGTTTTGTTGAGGAGGCAGTTTTGTGTGTTTATTTGAACCCTCTGTGCGACCCAGATAGGGTCTTCATGTCAGATTTTTTTATTGGTCCCCCATAGATTAATTAAATTTGTGTAATCAATTTTTTGGAATTGTCGGAAGTTGATCAAGGGCGTCGAGTCACCAGATTTGAAAAATTTTAAGTCAAAATTAGGATTTTACTTTATAGCAGATGCAGGATGTGTACCAGGGTAAACCAATAGAAAAAAGTTCAGAAAACACAAGGTGGGTCCTATTTTTGTTGAGACATCTCGGCTGTTTTTTTTAACTTGCAGGTTTCGCCACCCCGCGCCACCTTTTTGTGAGACATTTAATACCACAGACGGAATCAATCTAGCTACGTTTGTTTCTGAGATACGGGGTGAAAATGAAAAGTTTGACCTTTTGGGATGTTATCATATCTTAGTACCCATCGAAGATAAAAACTGCTACCTATTTTAAATATTTTTACCTAGAATCCAGTGGCGTAGTCAAAAAGGTGAGATTTGACCTAAAGTATTGCAACACCCTGTACACTTTAACGTCAATTTGTTTGCATTCTTGAGTATAATTGTATCACAATCGAGATCACAACCTATATTTTTTAAATTTTTGCTATGAACCAAAAATAAAAACGTTATTTTTCACGACTTTTACATAGTAAGCCATGGATTCATGGATATTTTGTTTTTTTATTGTATCCATGGCAGCTGACACCAATCGATAAAAGATTGCAAGCAGTTGGCGGTAAGATATACAGGATGTTGCATTTAAAAAGTAGTAACTTTGGGTCAAATCTTAGAAACCCTGATCCAAAAAATTTTAAGCTACTGGATTCTACGTAAAAATTTCTATCTTACATGGGTAGTAAGCGCCGACATTCCAAAAAGTCAAACTTTTCGTTTTCACCTCGTGTCTGAGAAGCCAGCAGAGGAGACAGAGATCAGATCTTCGCAACAACCTAGCAGCAAACCTTCACCAACCACCAAGCAAATTCAGATATTTATTTCTTTGGGTCATCTAAAACAGTGATTCTCAACCGGTGGGTTGCCACCCCACTGGAGGTTGGCAGAACGCGATTTACCAAATACCCACTCAACCTAAAAAGAGGGTGGCAGTGTCTAAAAGGTTGAGAACCACTGTTCTAAAATATCCTAAATTTACTTTGAATTTCCTCTGATCGCTTTCGATTTTCTCAGAGCTCTCCGGATAATTCTTGAATTATCTTCCTTGGGTTCCATTTGTTTTTGGAGCATATGATTTATGAACTAGACAGTTTGTGCGTGAGATACTGGATAAAGTAGGCGTGTACCTACCACATGTGACCCCTTAGTTGAAGGTTTTTTCGAAATTGCAGCTTAATAATTCGCTCTGCCTACCTAGTTTTTGTGAACAAATGAATACATGCGTAAACCTAAATCGATAACTTATCAAAAAAAAATCTAATTTGTACGATTGATGTTTGTGTATGATTCCATTCGTATGATAAGAGATGATAAGCGTCCTCCATTTAGAAATACACGCCTTTCCCGTTTCAGAACTGATCCTAAGGCAACACGACGATATAATGTCGCACCACAGTGACGATAATATGCTAATACCAACGAGCGATTCGTTTTGGGAGCCGGGCAACTACAAAAAGACGACGAAACGCATCGAGGACGGTTACAAATTGTGCGGCGACCTAATAACGCTCGTCAACGAGAGGGCCGAGATCGAAAAGGGCTACGCGAAAAATTTGAAAGCGTGGTCGAAGAAGTGGAACGATCTCATCGAGAAGGGTCCCGAGTACGGTACGACGGAGGCGGCGTGGAAGGGCGTGCTCGGAGAGGCCGATAGGCGGTGTGATGTGCATAATAAAGTTAAGGATAATTTGTGTAATGAAATCATTCCCAAAGTTAAGAATTGGCAGAAGGAAACTTATCATAAGGTGAGTAAGATGTCGGCAACCTACATTTTCGGTTACATCACTTTTATTGCAATTATGTTTAAGTATGAAATTGTTGCTGTTTTGTGCATTTTAAGTAAGTATGCAATTTGTGGTATTTGCAAGCATTTCCTTTATTCGACCTTGGACGTCTTACTTATTCGGTTTATTGAGTTTAGACCTGAAGTTAACAATTCTTGGGACAAGATGGTTCAATGTGGAATGGCGCCATCTGTGGAATCAGGCAGCAATTAGATTAGCGGCAACAAGTTTGACTAATTCAATTTTCTACTCAACCTTGCAGTAGGTCTATATCTGCATTCATTGGAAGACATGCACCGTTACCTCTTAATTAATTGAAAAAGTTTATTTGCACATAATTTCTTTTTGTGCGTGTACGTTTTAACGCAAGTAACACTTAACTGCATAAATTATATATAGAAGAAAAGAGGAAGTTATTGGTGTCATTGCCATTGCGGCTCGAGATATACATAGCTTCTTTTCAGGGGTAGATTGTAGGAGTTTCTTTATCTATCTATCTTCATGTTAGATTCTGTAACATTTTATAATCATCTCCAAGCATTTAACATTTGTAATTTTAATTTGAGTTTATAGAGCCGAAAATCTGTGAAGATTCATGAAAGCGCCTGAAGTTTCATCAGTCTGTTAGGACCCAAATTTTGGGACCCACATGAAGCATTTTAGACATTTAGTTTATTTGGAAAAAATTGCTTGTTTTTGCCCTTTGTACCGCCCACTTTTTTCATATACTTAATTATCACACCCTGTATAGAACATATACAGGATGGTTCATACCACCCGTTTTATAACTCAGGGGCTTAAAAATGTTTAACAAACAGCGTAGGGATCGTACTAATATTGTTTTCTATTAAATGACGACTGTGATTACAGCGCCATCTATTACCACGACAATAAAATGTTTCAAACAACATCCTAATATACTTTTCTGATTAGAATCGAGATGTGGAGTAAAAAATGTGGGTTCTTATTCGAACAACAGTAGGATACCTCGGCTATTCGTTAAAAATTTGTAAGCCCAACAGGATAAGTCAATTTGGCAGTTATAGCATGCTACTACCTTATAACCCAACTATTTACTAAGCTACTTCGGTTTAAAAGTTGCGCACAATTTATACTTGTACCTTAAACTTCTTCTGTGAGTGCCCTCCTCCGACACTGTTATTGAGATATTTGCACCTAAACTGACACAGCCAACATACAGGGTGTCACTTTTAAAACTTGCAGTCGGCCATATTTTCCGAACTAAAGAAGATATTGCAAATCGCGCAAAACCGTTTCGGGGGTATCGAGGGGAAACCGAATGACGTTATGAGTGACAACCCCTAACCCCCCAGCCCCCCTTCTTCAAAAATCCTAAATGGCAACCCCATACTTGTGCCACATCGTTGGAAAGCTACTGAAAAATGCTTTCCAGTGGTACCAATAAAATCTATATTTATTAAGACAATTTAACAAAAATTTAATAATTAACAAAAAAAACTTAATGTTGACATTGAATATTAATAAATGTATCTTATTAAACGGAAGAAAATCTACAATTTTTGTTCTTTGCATATTTCTGTATTTCTAATACTAACTATTCTACAACAGTTACATGAAAAATCACTAAATCTGTTTTTCGATCATATCTAGTAAACTGTGAATTTTTAAAAAAAAACAAAAACATATCTTGAATAAGCCTTTAAAACGACAACTCTTTCCTCATTTAACCAATTCTCTATGTCTTACAGTTTCCGAGATCCCAATGAACTCACCCTGTATGTTACCTTACAGTAATTCAGGCTCTCATTGATAGTTTAAATCTGAAAATTTGCATACGATCATAGTTTTTTATGATCTCAAAAGAAAATATTATCACTTCGGGTTTTACCTGATGTGGATAGCAATTTTTTTATTTTAAATTGAACACCCTGTATTTTGTTAGATTTTCGAAATCTACATGAACATTTACGTCGTTTGATACCACATTTCTTTTATACCCAGCATCAATAGTTGTCAAGTTATTCACGATTTTTTAAAATAGAAAAGCAGTCAAAAAATAAAAAAATTTTGAAAAATCTTGAATAACTTGAAAACCTTTGATGCTGGGTATAGGGAAATGCGGTATCAAACGATGTAGATTTTCATGTAGATTTCGAAAATGCAAAAAAATACAGGGTGCTCCCCCAATGGGAAAATGTAATGATAAAAGTTTTGTATTGAATGTATTGAGCGCTGATTATGGTCATTAATATCATTTCAGTCAATGATACACATCAAAGAGAGAAAAGACATGGAAGACGCATTTAAAAAAGCTCAAAAACCATGGGCGAAACTACTGCAGAAAGTCGAGAAAACGAGAAGTGACTATCACACAGCGTGTAAAACAGAAAAATCGGCGACAAACCAGGAGCGCAACGCCTCTGGAGACACCTCCGTTTCGCCGGATCAGGTAGGCGGACTTGCACTTCATTTCCGCACAGTTTTAATTTCTATTCCCTTTCCTCTTGCACTCAGAAGAATGTTCTGGTAAGCAATTGTCTACGTTCTTCCACATCCCTTTGTTTGCTTATAAACGCTTTGAAATTAAAAAGTTGATCGTCGACTAATTCTAAATTTTCTCTAGGTAAGGAAAATGCAAGATCGAGTGCAAAAATCGAAGGAGGAAGTACAGAAGACCAAAGAAAAGTACGAGGCAGCTCTACAGGAGATAAACAACTACAATCCGAAGTACATGGAGGACATGACCGTAGTATTCGACAAATGCCAGGACATGGAGACGGACAGGTTGAAGTTTATTAAATCAGTATTATTCGACGTTCACAAACATTTAAATATATCGCAGGATCCCACGTGAGTAGCCGCGTTCATTTGTCTTTCCCATCTTTTAAATTCGCGCGTTTTCAAGGTTGCCGCAGATATACGAAGAACTATATCACACTATTAATAATGCGGATTACGAAAAGGACCTGAAATGGTGGTCCAATAATTACGGTGTGAATATGGCTATGAATTGGCCGCAGTTCGAGGTACGTGTCGAGTTTGACATTTTCGCATGGTTCAATTTGAATATGATTTTTGTTGTGTTGGTGTTATTGCATGTTTGTTTAGGATTATACGGAAGAGTTGCGAGACATACACAAGGGTAAATCGAAGGAGTCGGTGCCATCTGGTATTATGTTAATTAATCAGCGGCCGGTGGGAGAGGATTCGCATGTACGCTTTTTTTCGTTTTCTTTTTTAGTTTTATTGCTCATTGAAAGATGACAACGAAGTATTTATGACGTGACCTTAGCGGTTGTATCTGAGTTAATGACTGGGGCAAAGTGGGGATTGATAACGAAATAACGATTAGTATTCATACAGTTATCCTTGTAATTAATCAAGCGACTTGGTTGTCATCTTTTGTTTTAGTAAATTGAATTAATCACTTTCCCATGCTACCTAATTTTTTTTTCACATAGTTTGCATTTTGATCATGACTGGAGGAATGAAATTTGGTTTCAAAATCGTTTGCACTCACACCCGTTTCATTTTAATGCAAAAGGTGTTTTTAAGAGGTCTCTATGTACAGAATTTCTCTGTGTAATGTGTAGAAATCTACAGGGTGGCCAAATAAGAATGGGAGGTACTGTATCTGGGAACCTGTCCATAGTAGAGGCTTGCTGTAAAAAAAAGGCCACGAGAAAAACCTGGAAAATATTTTTAAGTTTCTGAAATGGCCGCTAGGGGGCGTAACTGCAATCTGGAATCTAGTCACTAAATATAGAAAGTATCGCAATCCATTGGGCTCGTGTGTTAGAGAGGGAACGCATGATTTTTGCCCCAAAAATGGCAGAAGTTACCAGATTCTAGTAACTTTAATGTTAGGGATTGTTCCACCTGTTTGGAGATATCTGTATATATTTTTATAAAACATGACAGTACTATGAAGTTAGGTTATAAAAAATTACAGCTATTCAGATTTTATTTGTCAATTTTTTTAAGTTGGCAGCAAATTTGCCCAAAAATGGCGGTACTTTCTATATCTAGTGACTTTACTGGAATCTAAAAAAGTGATTTTTCTGTGAATTCCGCTATATTAACCTAACAAAAAAATGCCCGGTCTTTGAAGATGACGATAATCTGAACATTTTTTGTTTGACAATTATTGCTGCATTTAAAATGATTTCACATATTTTGAGGTTAAAAAATTTCTTTTGATACATGGTTTTTTAGTGCGATCGCCATCTTGAATTTGTTTAATAATGGTAACATAGGTGATGTGATACATAAGTGGTTAGAAAGCTTAATTTTTCTTTTTCTTGCTACCTTAAACATATATGATGTTAAATTAGAACATAACACAGAAAAATTGAAAAAACCTGCCAATGCTTGGCTGGCAAATATATTGCACTTTAAATTTAGATACCCTTAAATTAACAGAACGTCAAACTTTAACAAGAAAACAACGAGTAGGTGTTTAATTAAAGTGACAAAGCACAGTACGTATGGTTTGTTTCCTTACAACTATTGTATTATGTGAGATATAAATATTAATTTTTGCGAAATATAATTAATTATAATAATTTAAAATGGAAGCATTGTAATTTTGATGATATCTCAAACGATTTAAGCATGTATATTGACAATGAAACAATGGGTATTAAATTGGTCCTTTGAGCCTAATTATTAAACATTTCTCTATAGTCGCCATACGTATTACTGAAGATTACTACTCTGCATATGTCAAAATTTCATTAACCAACAAACCGATAATCGAGCCTATAATGTAAGATAGACTTGATTGTACAGATATGAGTATCTTTTAAAGACACTTTATAATGATCTCAGAATGCTATGTACTATTGTTTGAAAACCAAATCGATTATCAACCTCCTTCTATCCCTACTTTTTATAAATAATGGAAATGTTTTGTGTTTAGGATTATAGTTCGGCAGTTAACAAAGCAGCAAAAGGCAAACCGCCGGTAAATAACACAGAAGTACGAGAGGAAAAGTTGGAAACGACCGCCAAACTAATAGAAAAAGTCGAAAGTCCTTCAAATCGTAACTCGACAATCACGTAAGTTTCTACCAATCGAAATATTCGGATTAAAGTTGTCGTGCAGGAACGGAACGACGGGTAAGAGCGAGGCGAATCCTTTCGAAGAAGAGGAGTGGGATGATAATGACGCGCTGGTTGATACAGGCGAACCGGGTGTACCTGTCAAGGCCCTATATGATTATGAAGGCGCCGAGAATGACGAGCTCAGTTTTAAAACCGGTATGTATCCAAGATTGAACTCTAAAATGTCAAAGTACACAATAAAATAGTGAAGTATGCGCCATCTTGAAGTAGACCATAGAAATCCTGTCTTGAAACTAAATCTAATTTGATACGTTTCAGGTGATGTCTTTGAAAAGTTAGAAGACGAAGACGAGCAGGGGTGGTGTAAGGGAAGAAAAGACGGTCGTGTCGGTCTCTATCCGGCGAACTATGTCGAGCCGGCTTCGCATTGATTTGTATATTTTTATTTTTTAAAGAGGAAAATTACATTTTTATTTCTTGAGCGGGCGAGGTTTGTGGGGAGTTTATACGTAAACAGCAGACTTTTAAAAAACTGAACGGTGCGTTTATCCTATGGATTATAACAATCGGTTTTCTCTTCAGGCGTTATTTATAACTCGGTATTGTATTTGTTGAAGAATCGGATGTGGTTACATAAATGTATCGTTAGCTGTAATATATAACATAATTACGTGTATGTTTTGATAGGCCTAACTGTTTAGATGCTCTATGTATATACATAAAAACATAATCAGAACACTTCCAGAGGTATATGATAGTATCATAATTATGTTGCGTAGAATAATCGTGTAAATTATTAAGCTTTATATTAGTAATAAGCAATAACTTAAGAGTAGAGGTACCGTGTACATATAATATAAATACATACACATAATATTGCAATATGCTCACTATGCAGATTTGATGTATTGCTAATTTTACATGAAATGTTAATATTGTGACAATTTACAATTTATTTGATTAACGCAGTAAATGAGATCCTTTTGTTTGTTTAAGTACTGTTTATTCAGTAGGACAAATAAATGGAAATTGTTGACCATTTATTAGAATCCTTACCTTTTTTTTAATGTATTGTTTTCCCTTATTTTATTCGAGATGTTTTTAAAAAATTATCCAAATGTTTGAACCTATTTGTTTATATAGTCTTTTTATTTATTTAGATCTAAATCCAAAATGTTCTAAATGATGGAGTACAATTAACATTTTTGCACTGCTCTTCAATTTTTTTTGCCTGTATTTTCATAGGCCGCTTGACATGGAGCAATTACAAAAATAAATAAGTTTTAAAAAAGTAATCAGTGGGTCTCTTAGTATCATAGCTGTCGCCCCTGTATTTTATTAGGTTGGTGCTACAAAAACAACTAGATTTATCCCTAGAATGCAGTGTTCATGCTATAAAAATTGCATGCAACTGCAGTCTCGCAACTTGCATGCAATTGCAATTTTTATTGGTCCATGTCGAGTGGGCTTTACCTTTGATTTTATTTGCTTTTCTTTCTCAGTAATGATCTTAGTTTGCAATTTTGAATTAACTGTGCATAAATGAAAAAGCACAAACTTTAATAGGAATTCCATTTAATGATGACTGCAGACCTCTTCCTGTAAGAGGCGTTTTCAAAGCAAAAATTATGAAGAGGTGGATCAAGGAAGTATGATTTTTAATTGCATAAATTTTGGAGCACTTGAGAATATTAGCTTTTAAATCGGTGGTTGTGGTGAGTGAATGCATGACTTTGCTTATTGATTGGAATTCCCACCCTCTTTTTAACAACTTCTGTTCACAAATAAATCGATAACAATATATAAGTACTCACTTTTCTGAAAATGCCTCATTTTAATGTAAGAAACCCTCTCACACCAAAAACCTTTACGTTATACACATAATGTACAAGTAGATCAGATACTTACTTTAAAACCAGGAATTGAACTAATAGAAACATAACATTTACAGGGATCTGTTTCCTGTGGTCTGAAAATATAATTACCCACCTCGTTTGGTAAACTTCCATCTTGATGTAGAAGGCAACGTTTGTTTGATCCCTTGGTTTCCCATCCACATGTGCACTTGCAATATTATGTTCTGAATAAGTGGTACTTGGGGTCATTTCTGGTTAGTAGATGACCAATGTATGTTCTGGACAAGGAAGTGACGTCACACCAATAAGAGAAGAGTTCGTGACGTCACAGCCAATCAGAGACGGCACGCCCTTCTCTTTCAGGTTCGTAAAACGGTCCAACATAGCTGTTGAACCGGGTGGAAAAGCTCTTGGGCCCTTTCACGAACCTGTTGAACCAGCCATTGAATCGCTTTACGAACCTGAAAGGGAGGGGCGTAGGAGGGCGTGAACGGCTGTGACTTCATGAACTCGTCTCTTATTGGTGTGACGTCACTTCCTGGTCCAGAACATGCATTGATCATCTACTCTGGTTGGTGGCGGTCTGGCAAGTTTACAGTGGAAAACATTTCAGGTCTTCAACATTGTCAAGTTCGATGATACCTTCATACAGTTTCACAAGAAATTTCTCTCCAACGTCAACGATTTTGGATAGAGTTGCCTCTGGATCAATAGTAGGGAATGCAATACCGGGATTGCGAGATCCCGCACATAAATGGAGCGGGATCCCGCGAGATTTGCGGGACTGAGGAAATTTGTCGACCAAGGGGACGACTCTGCTTTGTTAATGAAACACATAACGGAGAAATTATTTTTAAAATTATTGTTAAACTTTTTTCGTTAAAAATGTACTGTGATTTTTGAGGCACTTTAGAAGTTCACCTTTTTGTGCTTTACAGGTGATTTTTTTGAGTTCCAAGTTAGGCTAAAGGTACTTTTTTGTTGAATACTTATTGTGATAATTATCGATTTATTTTAATACGGAAGTTAACCGCACGAAATTGCTTATTTGCCAATTTATTTAAAATTTTGCGGGATCCCGCGGGATTAACATCTAACGATCCCGCAAATACCGGGATAGAGATCTTGCTGCGGGATTGCCAATTTCGAAAAAAAATTGAAAGAGCTGTAACTTTTGAACTAGTAGCCCAATCTTGAAACTGTTTGAAATTATGGATTCTAAAGGCCACATTCGATAAGAAAATTTTTTTCCGGGTCGATCTGGGACAATTTTTTTTTCGGAGCTCAAAAAAAGGCAGTGTATAACCTTCCTTTTTTACCAAAAATCGACTACCCCAAAATTTCTCGGGAAAACACTTTTTCTTATTAATTTGGCTGCGTAGAATCCAAATCAATTCGTACTTTTTCGATCAGACTTCTTAATCAAAAGTTATATAGACCAATTTCGAAAAAAAAAACTCAAAGGGCTGTAACTTTTGAACTAGTAGCCCAATCTTGGTACTGTTTGAAATTATGGATTCTACAGGCCACATTCGATAAGAAAATTTTTTTTCCGGGTCGATCTGAGACAATTTTTTTTTCGGCGCTCAAAAAAAGGCAGTGTAACCTTCCTTTTTACCAAAAATCGACTACACCAAAATACTTTCAAATTCGAATACTTTTGAAAGTATTCGAATACATTCTAAAGTATTTGAATACTTTTCAATGTAATTGTTTCTAGTATTCGCTTGTGCTGGACGTAAAAGTATTCTGTCCAGCTCTGCCCTCGAACGCGGAAGATGACCAGATCAGACTGAATGCTGTCATGCCACCCTCTATGATCGTCAGGCGTAGATTACAGAGGAACGTTTCTAATGAAAGGTGAGTTTACAGTAGATTTTTCGCATCTTAATAATGAGTTCTGACCATAATAATTAATACTCCTATTTAATTAGCTACTTCCATTATTATTAAAAATGCCAACCCTTCCAACACACCCTTCATTACACAAACAACAATATAATAATAATAATAACAGATTTTGTTGAAATTTCTTTTATTTGCCTCTGTGCGTCCCTACATTTCATCAAGTTGATTCAGATAAAGAGTGACATATAATACAAACTCAAAAAGTATAGTGAAATATTGTCGTAAATTGCATAAAACTTAATGTGATACCTACACCTACTTCCAAAACAAAAATTAATTAATTAAACCTAAAGTTAAATTAAATTCATGATGTAACACAAACAACGTAATAATCATAGATCGTGTGGGTCGCAGCTGGATTTACTTCTTTAGGTTTCGAATCGGCATCATTACTGGGTGAATTCTACCCCTTAACGGTCTTCGATCGAAACAACTCTCGGACGAATCATCAGCCACTGACGATGCGGAGGGTGTCATGAAGGTTTGTCGGGGCTGAAAAACATTCATCAACCTATCTAGATATCTCGGTATGGAAATTCTTACATTAAACGGTCGATGCGCGTTCATGCGAGCTCCGATATGCGAAGCATTTGTCCAAGGTGTCGTCGATTGAGGGAATAGCGTGGGGTTGCTTCCGAGAGCATTCGGCTGAATGGAAAAAATCGATGAGGACGCCGAACAATCGGATGTAGGAAATATCGGAGGTCTGTTCGGTACCGATTTGTTTCCAGATGCGGCTTTCAGCATATTCTGCAAAGGTAACCTTAAAAATTAAGCTTTCAATTGAAATTACCTGTAGCTGCAAATGAAGCGAGGCATTCTCTCGTTTTAAGTCGTGTAGCGCTCCGTAACATTTAACCATTTCTCCTTTTACAAATTTACACTTGTTCTTCAAGTTTTTTATAATTATAGTCTTGTTTTGGTCTTGAAATTTGGATATCTGCAACACGAGCTGTAAGTAACACGATTTTACCATGTATTTTCTGAACCTGTTTCGCTTGGTCCACACTATAGCTTAGTGGACGAAAGAATGGTAGCATTTCCGGGTTGAGGTTGTTATTTATCGGTATTAACTGAGCAGGTGATTTGCATACTGCACATTTTGTCTTATCATCTGCAAGGACAAGAAAATGGAACTTTATACAGAATTAATTGGGCATAGGTACCTGATTTTGCTGTGCAAGGTTCACATTTCATATGTCCACATGTTGTCACGTAAAAAGATACATTCGGACTGTATCTTAATAAACACAAATTGCAGTTAACAATAAATTCGGCCATTTTTGCAAAATTTGCTCAAAAATGACTTAAGGTTGAGACGCCAATTTAAAAATTCGAAAACTGAGTTGGTAGACCTGCGATTGAATTCGAAATTTATTCAAAAATTCTTGTCAAAGTGGAAAGCATTTGCAATTTTGAATAAGTTAATTTTGGCATAAATTAGATAATCGACTGCGGAATTACTTCCCATTTCTCGGCACCGCGTAAATAAAATATAAATATACCAATCGGAAAGTTTGTAGTTGGTAGCACTGGTTTCAATTTAAAATACTGTAGATTTAAAATTATCATAACCTCGATAACCTCCAAAATAGTGCCATAGTGATCAAGACGGAATAATGAATTTATGCGATTTGAAAATGCGAACTCCTGCGCCTTTTCGAAAATGATATTTCTCGGTTTTTTGGTCATGGCTTCGATATTTGTGGAACTACAAATGAACGGGAAAAATTAATCAGCATGTAATTCTGAATATCTTTGCCCATCTCTTACGGTTTACGAGATAGTGAACATGAAACTCGCCCTGTATAAAACTCTTCTGTAGGTAGCCTGGTTTGTAGGCAACACATCATGCTCAATGAACAGAAAACATTTATTTTTGCAATTCGTAACTTCTTATGCATAGGAGTTTATTTAAAGCCCTTGGAAGAACAAGGAACTGTTTGAAATTATGGATTCTACAGCCCACATTCTATAAGAATTTTTTTTTCCGGGTGGATCTGAGACAATTTTTTTTTCGGGGCTCAAAAAAAAGCAGTGTATAACCTTCCTTTTTTACCAAAAATCGACTACACCAAAATTTCTCGGGAAAACACTTTTTCTTATTAATTTGGGTGCGTAGAATCCAAATCAATTCGTACTTTTTCGATCAGACTTCTTAATCAAAAGTTATAGACTAGAAATTCAATAGCAATAAAAGAGTGTAAAATTGGTCGCCCTTGTTTTTTGCTGCCTGAGAAGCCTATTCGTAAATACACCTCTGGTGGACCACATGTGCTCCGTATTTTCTGTAGCAATGCCTAAACATAGGCGACTGTGCTATCAGGGGGATTTCCTCAGACATGCATAGCATTAAACAGGAGGTGAATGCTGGAGCAGTATTCTTCCCCCTCAGGATCCTACTTGCCTTCCTGATTTTACCCATCCTTAGAAAGTTCTCAGTTGGATGAATAGCCATCCTCCCTGTAGTCAGGGATGTTACAGGAATGAAACACGTTGACAATTTCCTTATCTCTACATTTACAAGCTACCATTATGAAATTTTTCATCTAAACAAGGAAATGCAACAGTCATGTACTTTTTCTTTTATTTTTTTATCCCTGTATTCTTAGTAGCTTTTTTTGTGCCTAACTAAGAACTTTGTAATTATCGATGATTCTTTTTCACATTTTTAATTTTGATGTTTGTCAACGACTATCACGTAGGGCAGGGGGGGAAGATAATGTCTATGCTCGCAATATTAAGTTCTCATATGTCGATACATGCAGTATTGGTTTTGTAGAAAATATAATTTGATATTTGTCTGTCCCAAGATAACCGAATTAATTACATAGTTTGATGGTCTCAGTATTGATGTTAATTGATGACAAAATAATGCCCATCAAGTTACATAAACTCTTGCTGAATTCCAGGAATTTTTTTATTAAAAATACTTTACAAGGAAATTCAAAGTTTCGTATACTACAGAAACAACAACTTGCAGTTTTTATTTTACAACGTCGATATTACAAAATAATTCAAAGCTTCAAAAGCAAAGAGCATCAAATGTAGAACATCACAAACAGCTTACTTAATAGGTTTCATTTGCCACAGCCCGTCATTTAAATAGTGAATGTTTTCTATTCCGATGCCCTTGTTAATTTTTGCACTGAAAATGACACCTTGTACAAAAGTACTAGAGAATTAGAATACATACATATCCGCCGTAGAAAGGGCAGTCATTCCTATAGCTAAGGCATGTTGTTTTCCTTCTGCCATCACAGCCTAAAATAAAAGAGTTACCATTTGATAGAAGTGAAGCATGGTACGTACCACAATTGTTCCTTTTTCTGCTTCAACCATTTCCGCACCCGGAGATGTGAGCCCCGGACACATAATATTAGCTCCACTAAGAACGAACCTAATCGCACCTTTATCCACTTGTTCCATCGGCAGAAAGAAAGGGTCTAAAATGACAACTTTGCAAAGCACGCAAACGCGACATCTACTCACACTTGTGAAGTAAGCGTAAAGTCGGCATCCAGGCGCCTTCCCGATGTCTGAAAAACAGTAACTCGCCCGCGCTATTTATTATAATTTCTATATGATCGTGACTAAAACGGACCCGTTAATATTTATTTAATGGAGGTTGTCGTTACCATTTCACTATCCTCATCGCATCCTTCTTTGGCAAAATTGAATCTAATAGACCGTCTAAGTTGGGATAAAGTTCGACAAGTTTCGAGCGGATGCCTTTTTGTATCGACGATTTTAGCTGCAATATGCTGGAGACGCTTTCCTTCTCGTCAAATCTGAAAGGGGGAATTTAAATTTGAGTCACAGTTTTCGTCGGTTTTACGTACTTTTTAAACATTTTGGTACAAATCTTAATTCCGAAATGGGTTATTGAGGTTAAGTTACAATGGAATTTTGCGCTGTTGCCAACTCGTAACTGTCACCCTTGGTTTCATACTGCTTTCCATTTGGGTGCGTGAAGCTCTGGTGCAGTTCGTTCGGAGCAGCTCATTTCGCAAATTGTTCATTTTTAACACATTTGAACATTCACAGTACGTAAATAACCACAAAAATGTTACAAGCCCCAAGCAAATAGGTGGTGCATGAGGGGTCAAGGGAAATCCAATTTCGGGCGCGTCAGAGCTCGAAGCTTTCTTAAAAGGAACACAGGGCATCGTGCACGGTACAGCTTAGAGCTCCTCTTTCACTAAAATGGAAAGCAGTATTGGAGAGCTATGATGATTTATCGAACTTTTTGCACGGGGGCTGTTCTACGAGCCCAATGCTGTGCAGGTGGTAGTTGAAGCTATGTAGGGCAGTCTCCAGTACTGCATTCCTTTTGTATGCCAGGTTGATGGGCCATAAGATCTCCCCTTACCTTTCTCCAGCTTTGGGGAAAGCCTTAACAAGTTTTTGTGAGCACCTAAAGGTGTTTTAGATGCTTTTAAAATTTGCTTCTCCCTATTAAAAATTCCAGCCCTAAAAGGGCTTTTTACTGAAGTCGTTGACGGAAAGTTTAAGAGATTTAAGCGCCTTTAAAGGTCCTCAAGAGCTTTTACAACTCATGACCATTTCCAAACACTTAAGAAGAATGCATACGGGCATTGATACGGGTTTCGTCACGTTCCTGGAAACTGTATCGATTAAAAGAAGACGTGACAACACCGCTCAACGGTAAAGTTTGACGCGCTAAGGTTGGCAGACAGTCAAACAGACGTCAAATTAAAGACTAATTTTTTTCGTGATTAATTAAGTTTGTGTACAATTTTCTTTTACAATTTTTTTCTCGAAATTTTTATATAACTTTTTACTCGTAATTGCCGATAACGAGACGAGCGAATTGAACGTTTTAAATCCGTTTTAGTTCTTCGATCCATCAGTGTTCCCCCGAAGGCGATCGTGACCGAACGCAAGTATCCAGCTACGACAGCGCCAGTGTTTCTGCAAACAAGTAAAGGTCCTGTAAGTGAGTTTTTACAATTATTTTTTTTACATTTTATTGTGTTAAAATCAGGCTAAGGACTGAGGGTATGTGCCATTTATGTTTAGAGATTAACCGGGGTTCGTTTTACGTATTTGAAAATCGGGATAGTTGGTGTTTAGCGTCCGAGTAAAAATCTTTTGTGACTACCTACGGGTTCACGTCCTTACTTCTCCAACATGCCCATTATTTTATACTTGGCAACGGAATTATTCGCAAACTGACCCCGGTTTTTCATTTGGGGGACTGTTCGTCGCAGGCGATTGCAACGTGTCCGTGCCGTTTCTAAAAATTCCATCGATTAATAACGCCTTGGGAATTTCTAGGAATTTTTGTTTACGTTCTCAGGTAATCAGCTTGTGAATGGGCGATCTTTGTTGCTTTAAGTAATTGAAATAAACGGTCGTCACGTGAAGAGTTTCGTTTTGTTGTGGCGAAATTAGTGTTTTCGGTCCCCTTGCATTTGCAGTAGTATCCCCGAGCTCTGATCGCTTCATTTCCAGTGTCCACTGGCCTTTTTTTACGTAGCGAACATTCGGCCGGAATGCTGTTGTAGGACCTTGAAATCCCTAATACACCGCCTATGAGGTCATCGACCTTAAACTCAATTGCTCTTGTTCAGTTGATGCGCGCATCCAAGTGCCGGAGATCTACAGGAAGTTGCATCTTGCACTTCTCGTACATCCTGGGAGCTCGAGGAGTCTCATAGCTTTCTTTTTTTTATCAAGGCCGACTACAACTCGCTTTGTGTCTTTTGAGGTGAGAAATCCTTTTAATTTCGCACGGCTCAATGATTTGTTTTACTTCATGGGAATATATGAATCACGTATCGCATTCCTAAATATTTGCGCAAGTAATGTAGCTGTCGTTTGACTTGCATTATTATCCCTTCTCCTGATAATGCCGTGATTATTAAACTCGTGGAATTTGATTACATTACATGGTGTAATTATCGGAATTTTCTACTTTGAACTGAAATTACACGCTCTATTACAGTTATTTTTGAAAATCAACAAATTACTTTGGCGACCTTCATTTGTTAGTATCTGTCGTTAAACCTTTTAGCGGCTCGCCAAAGTAAATTCACTAACCCGAGTCGCGGAGATTAACTATGAAGAAGAGAACCCATTGTCTTTAGTATTCCAATGCTAACAAAACCAGTTTTCTATTACCATAAAAGTCACTTTTTAGATTAAAGCCAGTTGAGAAGCTTTTTTTTTATCCCACTTCTGAATTTGTTAACCTTTTATTTATCAGTTTGTTAATAAATAAATAATTTTGTTGTTTGTCATGTTCCAATAAGCAAAGTTGGTATTCTGCCAAGAGATGTGTAGAAATTATCAGCCAACAATAGACTGCATGTTTCACTTAGTGTATGCAAAAACGTGCATTATGGATGGAGCAAATTCTATTCTGAGGATGCTAATTATTGCAAATAAATAAAATGTGTACTCATCCGTTCCATTTTTTTGATCTGCAGTGTCTCAAATTCAAGGGTGACACAGATGCTATTTCAAAGCCACCTTATATTCTTGTGTAAAATTTGCTTTATTGTCAATTTTAGGGTGGTAGCATTGAATACGGAACATGTGTGAATACGAGTGCATTTTGTTTTCAAAAATCTCTCAAAATAAAGTCGCAAAAAATACAAATTTGATTTCTTAGTCTTGTAGTGATAATCTGCATGGTTGAAATTAGTGATATACCTAAGTACGGGCATGAAGTTAAATTCGCTTTTTTTCAAAGACATTCGCTTTTGAGATAGTCCCAACCTAAATGGGAAAACAAAAAATAACTAGAAGGGGGCTGAAGTTACATTCGTTTGTTTTTTTAAATAAACGGCCTCCGAAAGTGATTGCACCGGGACCTATTTTCATCCCCCCAGAGCCGTTTTTTAGGGCTCTTTTCCAAAGAGGGGATGAAAGTAGGTCCCGGTGCCATCACTTTCAAAGGTCGTTTATTTAAAAAAAAAAGAATGTAACTTCAGCCCTGTTGTAGTTATTTTTTGTTTTTCCATTTAGGTTGGTACTATCCCAAAAGCGAATATCCTTAAAAAAAAAAGCGAATGTAACTTAAGGCCAGTGATATAAGTACAGTATGTAAAGTGACGTAGAGTGAAAATATAACCTTGATTGCAGCATACGAAGGCCTTCATTGTGTGACTGCATTGACCGGTTCGAGAGGAATTTTTCGGTTGCATTTGTTAACCCATCACAACGGAGAGCCCCAGGCAAACGGGGCCACAAGCTCGTGTTTCGGGGAAGGACAGTGCTCCCCCCGCCAAGCGACGCTGGGTCCCACCATCAACATTGCGCCATAAACAAGATGTTATTGTTACACCGGAATCCCGTAACGACCTCGTCTTTCGTAAGGTTCGCGGTATTCTTAACAAACTTACCCCAGAAAAGTTCCAGAAGCTGAGCGATGATATACTGCATACAGAATTAACTTCACATAATATACTTAAAGGTGTTATTTTGTTGATCTTCGAAAAGGCACTCGATGAGCCGAAATACTCGTCTATGTACGCACAGCTGTGCAAGCGGCTGTCAGAGGAAGCTCCTAACTTTGAGGAAAAGGGACCGTGCACATTCCGACTGCTCCTGCTTAATAAATGTAAGGCCGAATTCGAGAGTCGATCCGAACTGTTGGATAAACATGCTTGCGATCCTCTTTTGGACGAGGAAGAGCGTCGCCAGTTGGCAAAGCGCAAAATGTTGGGTAATATTAAATTTATCGGCGAACTGGGCAAATTGGAGATTCTATCGGAGGGTATCTTACATCGCTGCATACAAGAACTATTGGGTCCGCGACGAGGGGAGGATCCATCGGAAGATCTGGAATGTCTTAGTCAAATCATGCGCACGTGCGGTCGCATTTTGGACTCGGACAAGGGTAAAAAGTTGATGGATCAATATTTCGAACGCATGTCGTTATTGGCGGATAATATCGATTTACCACCGAGAATCAGATTCATGTTGAAGGATGTTATTGAATTGAGAAGAGACTGTTGGAGACCTCGAAAATCTGCAATCGTCGAAGGTCCCATGCCAATACATCAAATTCGACCAATTGATGACGATCGACTTAACTATCGTGCCAGGTGAGTGATCCCAACTTGACTCCTCCCACCGACAGAAAAAAAAATTATGACTAGTGCTCATTTGTTACCATATTCGAACATTTCTGAAGTGGGTGGAGCCAGCTTGACAATGCTGGACTGACCCAATAAAATCATGTCCTTATTTGCAACAACAGACAGAGATGCCAGATTTCACGATATTAAAAAAACCCAAACTTCAATACAGTTCACAGTCTTAACAAAACATAAGACTAAGTTAATTATACAAATTAAAGATGGAACTATTTCCAAAGACCAAAGAATAACAATAAATAAATAATATCGGAATTATTTCCATGTATTACTGTGTCCAATGGTGTGCGAGAAAAGCCCTGAAAGAAAGAAAAGCTTACAAAGCTTGTTCGGACATATTACCCCACACACTGGCGGTCGAAAATTAACATTTAATAATATTAGAATTACTTACAGTTTTTCGAATTAAATTTTGCGAATACGGACAAATCGTTTTTTAACTTTCCACAAACTTTGACTACTTCATTTGACGATAACTTAAATCTTTTATTAAGATTACTTAATTTATTCTAAGTACACACTTCATTTTGAAACCGACGAACTGCGTCTTGAATGAAACCCGAAAAATTAGCGTAAATAAAAATACACGCTTTTTTTAACGTCGTGAAAACTAACAGTCTCGTTTTTACGTTGATTTCCGTATTTAAAGGAAACCCCACTTACGCCGAAATAACGCGCACATTTTATAACCCCCGCATCGAACAGCGATAAGAACACGTGCGTTAATTCGTCCTCTTTATCGCAGACGACCAAACTATTTAACGCTTTTTATACATTTGAAAATTATGTTATTTATTGTAAAAGTGATCTGTGATATTTTTGTATTTGTATATTTTGTATTTTTTTATTTGCTGGTATTATTTAGTGTATGACAAGTGTAAGTGAAGCATCATATGAGCACAATAAAATATTATTATTATTATTATTTAACATGCAATTTCACGTTTTACAAACACAAATCTAATTAAACAATTTACAAAAGCAATAAAAAACACAAATTCAAATGCAATACTTTGTGCTCATTCGTAAATGATTGTCCAGATCTTTACTTGAGTTGATCGTATACAGGGTGTCCCATCATTGTGGTGTTTAGATCGAAAAAAACGTCCACGTAACGTTCCTTACACAAGAATATTTGTTATTGTTGTTTCAGGTGTACAGCATAGGGCAGATGATAATTCACATCCTTGACTTGGAAACGTAGCCATATCAATTTAATCTTTAAATTACAACTTCAAATAATATACATGTCACCATAACAATATGACAAAACAATTTCATGGGCTACTAGATTGATTTATTGTTAAATTTAATATTGTCCATAATTTCTTAACTATTGAGTTTAGGAAAAAGTGTATAAGGACATTTCGAGTTAAATTTTACCAATGAATGTGGTGTCCATCAAGTCACGGGACACCCTGTATGCATAAGGGTACTAAGGATTACATGCTATTTACAAAAATTCAATTGTTTTTGGTTACTCATTTGTTTTCTGAAATAAAAACAACTGAATGTTGCCTTATTATGGGAAATAAAATGCTAACAACTTGTATAATATGGAAACATTTTGTATACAGTCGTTATTTTAAGCGATATATATTATATTCCATACATAACGGGCACCCTGTATATATAGGATTTAATGTAAACCTAATAAAAAATTATCATATAGGTGGATCACAAATTCTGTATACAGGGTGATATAAATTCGTGGCTCACCATTGAGATCTCCGCAATGGTGAGAGATACATTGTAGGTTAAATGGGGGCACATGTGTCCCCTTTTGTGAGTAAAAAAACGCATTTGAAATGTTTGAACAATTTTGTTTTCATTTTCCTTAATTTGTTGGTTCACATTTCCAAGTTCCACAATATATTCAAATGTTGGTTGCATATGCTGCATGGTTTACCTATTCAGCGATCCTTACTTTTTCAATGACTATACCTCTCATCGTTGTGACATCTCCATTGCGAGCTACCCTGTACATTGCTTTTACTGTTGTCTCATTCTTTTGCATTTAACCATTTACATTCTTTAAACTGTCTATTTATGATATTTTTACTTAGAATCCAGTGGCGTAATAAAAAAAATTTTGGACCACCGTTTTTTCATAGTTTCTTGGTTCAAATCTCAGAAAAGGTGGTCCAACATTTTTTTGGATTACGCCTGTAGATTCTACGTAAAAATATCTAAAGTAAGCAGTTTTTTCTTCTATCTTACATGGGTAGTAAGATATGGTTCCAAAATGTCAAACTTTTTGTTTTCATTTATTTTGTTTATATTGACTTGTCAATAAAATATTGGAACTGTACTGTACATTTTCAATTTTTAAAATTAAAACAATAGCTTGACATACAAATTTTAATAAATATGTTTCAACTTATTTTTTTTTTAAACGTAATTGACGAAACGTCAAAATTTTAACGAAGATGCTGCTGCTTTGGAATTAATAAAAACTCTTTATTGGCCGTTTTAACTTTGACCCATATAACTTTCCAGCTATAAAGAATCATTTTGTGTGAATATTCTAAAAAATTCTAAAAAAAACTCTAAAATATCTAAAAACAAGTTGTAAATCAGCACAGCATATGCATGATTAAAGCGCATTTTTGGTAATGCAGGTCAGTATTTTATTAGCGAAGTTTAAAATTATTGATCTCACGAGTAATTTTGGCTGCGTTAAATAATTAATTTTATTTAATTTCAATTGAGGGTACGTCTTCATTTTGTAAAACAAATCACAAAGTAAATAAGTTTTTTAAAGTCACTAGATATACCTAGAAAGTACCGCAATCATCCGCCATTTTTGGGCAAATTTTCTGCCAACTTAAAAAAATTGACAAATAAAATATGAATAGCTGTCATTTTTTATAACCTAACTTCATAGTACTGTCATATTCTATTCGCGAAAATCACCAACCAATAGATGGCGTTGAGACATGCAAAGAATTTGAAATAGGAGTGAACAACAAAAACTTTTACTACGGTTCCTATACGTTCGCGTGATTGTTTACTTTTGCATTTTCGTTCCATTTGCTTATTTCATTGTGTTCAACCCTTAGAGGAGACAGTCTTTATCAAGACTATTGTTAAATGCACGTATTGGAGTATAAGTAAGTATCAAAATTGAAATATAATAATGATAATTATTTGTTTACTACATACAAACATATATTTACTTATGGGCTTTCCGATCTGCAATTTAATCTTCCACTGCTTTCGAAAAGTTAAATCCTCGGGAAATTTGTGTAGAGATACCTCATTTTCACAATATGTTGAACACTTTGGAACTGAACAAATTTTGGGAGATTTTATACACTTATTTTTATGAACGTTTTGCATTTTAAAAACTAATTTGAAACCTAACTAAAAGTGAAGTCAAACAGGGTCAAGTTATAGCACAAACCCAAAAGTCAAACAGGGTCAAGTTATAGCACAAACCCAAACAGATTCAAATTATTTAAATTTTGATAAATATATAAGGCACGGGAAATAACACTTCTCACAAAATGTATATATGCAACAACACGACGGTGTTTATAAACAAATACATGAATAAATTATTTAGTAAACTGAGTACGTATTCCACAAATAAACACGGTATTAAATGGGAATATTTTTGTTGTTCACTTTAAAAACGCTTACAAAAAATTATAATAGATGTCGCCCAATTCGTGATTTTCGCGAATAAAAATATATACAGATAAGTCCAAACAGGTGGAACAATCCCTAACATTAAAGTTACTAGAATCTGGTAACTTCCGCCATTTTTGGACAAAAATCATGCGTTCTCTCTCTAACACACGAGCCCAATGGATTGCGGTACTTTCTATATTTAGTGACTTTAAAGTTTTTATACTGGTAGCGCTATCTAACGGTAAAATTATTGCACCTCCGAAACCCATATCAAAATAGACTAGTGCCTACACATCTACACTATAGCAGAAAGCTTTTAGTGAAAATTTGAATTCTCTAGCTATTGTAGTTGTGGAGATCTCACGCGGACAGCCGGCCTGCCAGCCATAACGAATGTAATAGCGTATTTTTTTCAAAAATGCGCTAAAAATTCTAGAGAGCTCTACAAAATCCTAGTAGTGTACACCAAAATTCTACAGTGATTATCCCCTCGGGGCAGCCACTTCAAATTTTGTGTACATTACAATTCTAAAAAAATTCTAAAAATTGTATAAAATAATAATTGTGTGTGTATGTGCGTTCGGAAAAATTCTAGAAAATTGCAGAAGAGTTCTAGAAAATTCTGCAAAATGCTAGTAAGGTATACCAAAATTCTAATTTTTCCCTCTGGATATGTTAACAAATTAGCACTAATTTTTTGAATACCTCAAATTTTTCTTGTGTTGGTGGGGGTGCACTTTTTTTTCAAATTGGTGACGGGACGTTTCTTCTTTAGGAATGAACGTATTCAAGAACAAAGGGACCAGGATAGATCCGAGCTGTTCCGTCATCCCATGAAAACACGAAGTGGTATAGATAATATGCTAATGGGGCTCACGTTAAGCTCACCTAGCACCAATCTTATTTCTGCTCATTCTTTCAGTCCTAACGGCTTCGGTAGCCAAAGAGACGGCGGTTTCAGGCCCCACAACAACCAACGCTCCGGTTTCGGGTATAATAATCAACGCGGACAGTATAAGCACAACCAAACTAACACCAACAACCAATTTAACACACGTGAGTACCGGATTCTCGGGGGAATTACATCGTTTTGTAACCAATTTCTTTCTCCAGAATCGAGTAAAGATCTTGCGCCACGTTTTAAAAAGAATTTAATTGTCCCGCACGAAGAAGATCTCGGCGAATTACAGTTACGACCCTCCATGATATTTAACAAAGCGTCGATGAAAAGTAGCAACATCATGAATAATCGATCGACTGAGCCGCAATTGCAAACTCCAAGTAGCAATAAGCAAACGCCGACGGCTCTACTAAAGGAAGCACTGCCGATTAAACAAGCGTCTGTGGAGAAACCGAAACAAGGGAAAAAGGATAAGGTACGTAATATGTTGGATAAATTAAAAGTGGTTACCAATTCTGAGAAAATCGTGTATTTTAAAGGAAAAAATTATCTGAATTAACAAACCAACATTTTGGGCAAAAATTCTGAATTATTGAAAAATGTTTGTGTAGTGGTTTTCATGTTTTATGTGTTTGTGTAGGGTCCAACCAAAGAAGAACTGTTAAAAAAGCACATCGCAATGTTGGAAGAGTATTTCAAAGGCGACATAGATATCATTCAAGCTGTCGACTCGTACAAAGAATATAAAATACCGGACAAGTTTGCCAAGGACATTATCGTTTCCGCTCTCACTACATCACTAGATAAAACTGGTACGTGAATCCGTCCCCCTTCATTAATGTGATCCATTCTTACGGACAGACTCTTTCAGAATCAGACCGAGAAAAAACGATTCAATACCTGGCGCGATTACGCAAAGAAAACGCAATAAACGCCAACCTAATACACGACTCCCTGAAGATCGTGTGCAACAAAGTGGAGGAACGGGAAAACGAAATCACAAAAGTCACTTCGGCCACTGCCATTTTACTAGCGATCGCCGTAACGGAAAATTTAATATCGCTCACCGACGTCGCCGCCCTCACCGACAACGGCACCTACTATCCGCTCTTCGTTCTGGTTTTGCAACATCTGCACAAGGTGTTGGGAAAATCTCCCCTAACCGATTTATTTAATATTAGTAAGGTAAATTTGTTGTCGCAACTGCCAGAGACCGACAAGACAAAGATGAGACTGGCCGAAATTTTGGAAGAGCGCGATCTCACCTTCCTCTATCCGCCGCTGAAGATCCAAGCCGAACTGAGCAAACAGCTGCACGCGGATCCGAATCCTCAGCAGTTCTACAAGTGGATTAAGGATAATCTCGATCCCGCCAACTTTACGGATCCCGGATTTATAAATGCGCTAATGACTGTTCTTCTCAAGTACATAACTCAGGTAGAGTGACTGCTTCGGCTAAGAGTACTAAATGTGTACACGTGTTCTCTTTTTATATTATGGAATTAACCAACGGGGGGCAGTACCAATGAAATTTCAGTTTTTGATTATACAGGGTGTTCCTAAATATGATGTATAAGGTGGCCAAATAAGAATGCGAGGTACTGTATTTGGGATCCTGTCCATCGTAGAGGCTTGCGGTAAGAAAATTTATTACTAAAACTGCCACGAGAAAAACCTGGAAAATATTTTTAAGTTTCTGAAATGGCCGCTAGGGGGCGTAACTGCACTCTGGAATCTAAAAAAGTGATTTTTCTGAGAATTCCTCTATATTAACCTAACAAAAAAACACCCAGTCTTTGAAGACGACGATAATCTGAACTTTTTGTTTGACAATTTTTCCTGTATCTCTAAAAATGAAGTGGTGGGGGGTATTCAAAGGTTTCTGTAAAGAACACCCTGTATCTTCGAAACGACTGAGCCGATTTTAACAAACTCGGGTTAATTATAATAATAATAATAATCTTTATTTAGTAAAAAACAATTTCATATTGTAATACCGGGTGATTCATTAGAAGTGATGATCGCTTGAATTTCGCGCGTAAGGTTTTAGTATTTTTTGCATTATTAGATTGACGGTTTGAATTTGGTTAGTAATTTTTTTCTGTCATGACTGTCACTTAAGAAACCAGTGTCGCCGTTAATTGTTGTGTGCTATTTGCGGTTTATTACTTTTTCCATTTTGAACAATTTTTAGAGTTGATGCACTAAAATATGTAAGAAACATGACTGTATGTAGTGTTAGTTTATAATTTGTGGTAAAACAGAAGCAGTATTTGTAGGTTATAAATAAGTGAACGATTTACTGAAAGCACGATGATACACCACTGCAATTAAATAAATGATCATCAGTTAGTACCAACTTCAAAATTTTGTTGATTTGCGGGAAATTCAAATTGTCCTCACTTCTAATGAATCACCCGGTACATCGTCGTCACAATTGAAAAGAGTTATTCTTCGGCTACAAATATTAAGTTTTGTTAGTTTCATATATCGCCGCTTGAGGGCTTTTTTCGACATTCCGACAGAAATGGTTAATTTTCTCAAAAAAATTAAATGCACTGGTTCGATTTTTTTTCATGAAAAAGTAGCTAAATGATGTCTAAACAAGCTCCCGAAAACCGCATCTCGATATCTTGTTCCTAACCTAAAATTTAGGCCAAAGAAAATTTTATACCCTCAAAATTTTATTTTTTTAAGATAATTTTTCCGGAATTATTTTTATTATATCATTTGTGACCCTAAGGTGTATCGATTTAAAAAAGGAAGTTTTTAATGCCGCCGTAAATGCTCGAAATACTGGCCATCACGAATATATATATATATATATTGATAGCTGTTAAGTTGTTACCTCCGGTACGTTCAGCAGGCGACCTAACCTCCACAACTCCAGATTGTGTTATGACCCATCTTTTATCAAAATTACTCTTTATAGACCCCCCTTAATAACAATCCCTAAAGAGGGGTATCAATTTCTTTGATTAGAACATATATATATTTTCTGTATCAAGTATACCAACTTCACCAACTTCCTTCCGTATATTCATGCAGTCTATGTATCGTTTCCACCTCCGGCAATGTTGCCACGTTTATGGAGGGAGCAACCGGCACTATATATCAAAGGATATATTTTTATCGAGGGGTAAACCGCGATGGGAAATCAGTGTACACGTTTGAGGAAATCTATGGGAAATCATAGGAATTCCGGAGGAACTCCTAGGAAAGCTAAGAATTCCAAGGAATTCCATGTGTATTCAGGAGGAATTCCAAGGAAATCACAGGAACTCCGAGGAAATCAAGGGAACTCTAAAGAAATCAAAGGAACTCGTGCTGCATTTTATTATTTAATTTGGTCTTAACTAATTTTTTTATTTGTTTATGGTATTTTTCTCATTTAATAATGAGTTTTTCTCATTGCAAATAGGTCTATTAAAATATAAAATAGTGTTTCGTCTAAGGTCGTGTCTTTATCCGTCCGTCCGTCCGTCCGCTAACTTTGCGACGGTACTAGTTCTTTATCTTAGGAGCTATTGTTCTACTTTTTTCGCTATTTGGTTCGTTATGGTGTCGAGTCTTGTACCAAGGAAGGAATTTTTTCTGTACCGCTTACAAAAAAAGTTATTGTAAAAAAACAAAAAAACCGTTTTTTACATGTTCCATAATTTTACCCTTTTGCCGTTTATCAACGATCCTAGAGATCGTTTATAATTCTGTATTGCTATCTGTCGCCTGCCGGTTGGTCTCTCCGTCTGTTCCTTTGTCTGTCCGTGTGAACGATAACTTTGTTTAGAAATGTTCGATCGCTTTTACATCTCCGTGAGTTATGAACTGAATTGCATGAAATTCAATATGGGCATAGATTTATCCAAAAGGCAATGCCAAAAGTTGAATCGAATCGATTCAAAATTCACAGTGCCCTTTTCGCATCTCGACCATAAACCGAATTGCAAACTTTTTTACTTATAAAAGTATTTGAATGAAATTTGATACATAGGCACTATAAAGGAAAATCAAACGCCAATTTCAAAATTTGGTTTTGCGCATGCGCAGTGCCAACTTTTTTATTTATGGAAGAATTTAAACGAAATTTGATACATAGGCACTTGGAATAAAGGAAAATCAAACGCCAATTTCAAAATTTGGTTTTGCGCATGCGCAGTGCCAACTTATTTATTTATGGAAGAATTTAAACGAAATTTGATACATAGGCACTTGGGATAAAGGAAAATCAAACGCCAATTTCAAAATTTGGTTTTGCGCATGCGCAGTGCCAACTTTTTTTATCTATGGAAGCATTTAAGTGAAATTTGATACTTTGGCGCTTGGAACAAAGGAAAATCTAACATTAGTTTCAAAATTTAGGTTTGCGCATGCGCAGTTCCAATTTTCTTATTTAGAAAAGCATTGAAATGAAATTCTTCTCATAAACTGAAATTGAAGTAGCACGTCAACAATGGATTGCCCATGTGCAACGCTATCTTTCATATTTGTGGCGGGATTTTTACGATTTTAACAGAAGTTGCATCTTACAAATGGGAAATGAATGCAAGTGGAAATGCGCTTTATGTAAATCGTTTACGATTACTTTTTAACTTGACACATGACACTTTTATATTTTTTTTATGGTTTTACCTCGGGTTTTACTTACCAGGAAATTGTTAAATCAACGGAATAACAATGAAATAATTAAAAAACTTTAAAAAATCAGAGGAACTCACATGAACTCCAAAAGAAAATCGAGGGAACTCCAAGGAAATCAGAGGTATTTCGTGAAAGTTGGAGGAACTCGGAGGAAATCAGGGAAACTCCGAAGAAATCAAATGAACTCTGAAGAACTCGAAGGAACTCAGAGGAAATCTAATATTTATAGGAAATCAGTGTACAAAATTTGGGTTGCGGTTTACCCGATTTTTATTTATACATGTGATTTATCATAATAAGACACATCTCCTTGCTTATGCTAGAAAAAATAAATAGCTTTACTGATTGGATTTTATGTTTATTGCAGTGTTGTAACTGTGTCCAAGATAAGGATGTCTACCATGGGGTTCTCGGACACCATAGAAGACACAAAAATGGTCAAATTGAGGAAAAGTTACTCAATTAAAAAATTTACATGCTGTAAAGACCGCCAGAAAATTCTCCTTACTTCCGAAGATATGCCAGAAAACCGCAATCAGCCGATTTTTTATTGATGTTATTTGAACAGATTAAAAAACGCTTATTCATTGCCACTATTAGAGTACAAGAAACCGTTGAGAGAGTTAAACAGAAGCAATGAGAACGTGTTTTTGTTTTTTTTTATATCTGTTCAAATAATGTCAGCAAAAAATACAAAACGAAATCGGCAAATTTTGGTTTTTCTGGCATTTCGTCGGAAGTAATCTGAATATTCTGGTTTCTTTACAGCACGATAACTCTTTAATTGTGCAACTTTTTTCTAATTTGGCCATAGTCGTATCATCTATGGTTTCGGAAATCGGAATCGGAACGTTTGGTAGGTGTAAAGCGTGTATGTTTTGGGACACATCTGATTATGTCTACCATGAAGAGCCCTACTCTAACTACTAAGATTGTTCGAGATAAATTAAAGTACACTAATACAGTCGAAAAG